GTTGGAGTTCCCCAGCTTGCGCGCATAGACTAGTTCACCGCCACGCCACTGCACACTATGTTTCAGAGACGCACTGGTTTCGAGGTTGTGCACAGAAATCACGCCGCGACACACATCACCGGTGAGCTTGAGGTGACCGCGAAGCGGCAGCGGTCCTTTGCTGGTGTTGATTTGAAAGTCCGACAGCAGTTTCTGAGCCACCTCGTTATTCTGCGTGCCACAGATGATGATGTTTTGCTCCCAATTGGGAGAAATGCTGATGTCATTCATGTGCTGCCTTCCGATGAGTTGGGAAATGGCAGCGCCGAGCTCACCTTGTTGAAACGCTGCCTTGAGGGCTACTGTGATGCGTACTGGCTTGAGCACGATCACGTAGTCGCCAGGATTCATCCTGACCGTTGGTTTCGGCGTCCACTTGGAGACTGGTGAAGTCTTTTGTGGAGCTTTAGGAGATGGAGCACGAGCGTCTCCAGTGGCTGAATTGTTGAGAGGAGTTTTCAGTGCAGACGCTCCTTCCGCGTTTCTTCGGCGGCGACGCCGACCCTCGACGAGTTGAAAAATGTCGGCTTGCTCCGCCGAAATGGTGGATGGGCCGTCGTCTGATGGATTTGTCGGGATATACGACCACGACAGAGTCGTAGGGTCGTAGCCACGTAGTTCAGGCAGCGCCATGTTGAGGAGTTGACCGAGCGGCGTCTCCGCATCCAGCAGCGGCGGAGCCGCCGCCGTGAGGCTTAGCTCGTTCGCTACGTTGTGATGCAAAGTTGCTCGAAGTGGCCGAAAATTGGGCGTACCTGGGTGAGATCGGTGTCCCCAGAATCTTGCTGACTTGGCAGATGCAGTCACACAAGTTTTAGAGCAGCCACATTGAAGAGAGCACGGTTCCAGCCGAAAATCGACGGAGCCGATGAGCGTCGCGTCCGATCACTTCGCGAAGCGCCCGCGTCTCCCCAGTACCTGAGAAGACTGATTCAATTATTCAATGACAGTGCGCCAGTGGTTTCGTCTGGCGCACTGTCATTGCTTTGGCATTATTTATTTTTCTGATTACTTCGAGGCGTGAAGGGCCAATCGAAGAGATAATGACCCTTGTACGTGGGTGCGTCCAGGCCTGCCACCGAGTGCAGGGAAAGTAAGTGTCCATAATACATTGTATATATAAAAAGTTGCGAGAAGAGGGTTTGTAAAGTGCCTGCGATTCTGCACATGACAACAAAGTCGCGACAGCAGCCTACGGGAGGGAATGGTGGTCGAGGATGAGGAGAGAAATATGTGATTTTTTTTTTGTGTTGAACAACCGTACCGCTGGGAGCCCCCGGTGGGCCACCCCTTAATTACCGCAATTTAAAAAGTAGCATTGGTAACGCACGAGCGGCCAATCTATGAAGAGGCGGCACGGCAGGAGGACACAAAATCTCAGCAAAGCAGAGAGCTCGCATACATTTCGTTCAAATTCACACGCTTTATTTACAGCCTGCATGGAAAACGCAGGATAACAAGGCAATCACGTGCTAAGCCATGAAACCACCACTGCAATTTCAACGCAAAGCGTCTGCTCCGGCTTGCTGCCTCCCCAGCTTGCCGAAAAAGCAGCGCGCCAGAGAGCGGTGCTGCCACCTGGCGGCTGTATCGCATACCATTTCCCCTCGGCCGGCCCGTTCACGACACTAGGAGAAATATTCTAGGCACTCTACATTTGCCTAGTCTTCGTACTTGCGGCTTCGCTGGTTGCTGGGTGAGCCTGTGTCTCGAGTTTGTTTTGAAGGAAAAATTCAACCCTTCTGAACCTCATGACTCAATTTGAAAAGGTAATTCGAAAAAAAAAAGGGTGGTGAAGCGCAATCACTGAACATTTGTTGATCTTGTTTCGTGAGAAAACAGCTTTAAGCCACACGAACACACGCGGAGCCAAAAGCACGCCATATGTACGAAGTTTAGACAAATGTGTGTACTACCCATCATTCCCCATGCTCATAAAGAGCCGTGCGTTGCAGCGCCCATAGACACTAGCGCCAGAGTTCCCTCTAGTGTATATTAGGAAACTCTATGATGCTAGCCACCCTACCACGCTTAGCGTGCTGGTAATACGCTCGCGCATGGTGGCCTGGTGCGCAAGTGGCGCAAGTAGGCAATCCCCCCCCCCCCCCCCCCCCAACTCAATCCTGCCCGCGACCATGAACTCGTATCTCTTTGCAAGTTTTTTACCACTAAGAGATTTATAAATGTGAATACGAATGGCTTTATGAATCAACAATGCACTCACCACACTGAATAAGTATTATTGCAGTAGTGCAAAGCTGTCAGAAGTTGACAGGTCAAACAACCAGACATAACTCAGCCCTTCACTCCACCCAGCTGTAATTAAGGGGGATTTGAGCAGTTCTGACACCCGCTGAATTTTTATTACGCACTTGTTTTTGGTAGGCCCGATACACAAACTATATATATATATATTGGTATAGATTCAACAAGCATACTAAAATCATGCATGGTAATCTGCCACCAACTCTCGAAAGGAATTGTATATAACAGCTACATCTTGCCAATACTTACCTGCGGAGCAGAAACCTGGAGGCTTATCAAGAGGGTTCAGCTTGAACTTAGGACCACACAGGGAGCAATGGAAAGGAAAATGATAGGTGTAACCTTAAGAGACAAGCAGAGGGCAGAGTGGGTCAGGGAACAAACCGGGGTAAGGATATCATAGTTGAAATCAAGAAGAAGAAATGGACATGGGTCGGGCACGTAGCAGGTAGGCAGGAAAACCACTGGTCCTTAAGGGTAACTGAATGGATTCCCAGAGAAGGCAAATGCAACAAGGGAAGACAGAAAGTTAGGTGGGCAGATGAAATTAAAGAGTTCGCAGGGATGACATGGCAACAGAAAGCACAAGACTGGTTTTATTGATGGATAATGAGAGAGGCCTTTCCCCTGAAGTGGGCGTAGACCGGCTGATGATGAAGTATATATACAAACACCTTAACATTAACTACCCATTGCCAAAGTTGGCTTTATTACACATAAATGCTCACCCCCCACCAAAAAAAAATATACAAAGTACGGCCCTAACTAGTCATCAACAATGAAACAATTTTTTATGAGCGTTATTTCGAATGAGCCAGTTTGGTGAAGGCAAAATGATCATAATCTAAGATTTACGTATACATATATGTCGTGAAAACGAAAGCTTCTTCAATAGAAACTTAATGTGTGTTCGACATTCATTTTCACAAGGTAACCTATAATAAATTGTATTAGCGTCTCGTCCAATATTGATACTATGATGGTGTGAGTAGCCTAGTACATTTGTTCCTTGTCATTTATTAAATATTGAATATGCATTACACTGAAGTCGTGCCTTCAAGGATGTTCTCAAACATGCAGAGAAATTGAGACAGCAATTAGTTATATGGCTTCCACAATACTTAATTAGCCCCGCCACGGTGGCCTAGTGGCTAAGGTACATGGCTGCTGAACCGCAGGTCGCAGGATCAAATCTCGGCTGTGGCGGCTGCATTTTCGATGGAAGCGGAAATGTTGTAGGCCCGTGTACTCAGATTTGGGTGATCATTAAAGAATCCCACGTGGTCGAAATTTTCGGAGGCCTCCACTACAGCGTCTCATTATCATATGGTGGTTTTGGGACGTTAAATGCCACAAATCAATCAATCAATACTTAATTAGCATCACTTTGCAACCAAATCTTGATAGGCATTCCTTAATGTTATGCAAAGATTACATTCTCATTTTTTCTCACTTTCTGCCAGGTTGAGCCCATTCAAAGAAAAAATAACTTCTTGATTGTGACGCGAACGAATTTCTGCAACGCTCTGCTTACAGATACAAGCTACATACTGTCTTTAATAAGCAGAAAACAAGTGTCAGCCCACTTTATCTGTGTTTCAAGTTGTGTAGTCACTTGTGTGCGTACAGCAGCCTTCAAATATACAGTTAGCTAGTTATCTGTCCTTCAGCTTTCCTGCACTGCATGCTATAGCCCGATGCATGCATTTTTGCAAGTTGTGCAGCCTCATGCCAGAATGTGTTCATTAACTATGTAACCCGCAATATAATACACACAGGGTGCATATCACTGGGTTGCTCTATATACTTGATGAAACTATAGTTATTACCATAGTTAGAACAGTTTCAACTGCGCAGAAAAGCCATCTGAAAATATTTAATGAGGTGAACGGTGTGCTTCAACCTTCCCGACCACACAATCGAGGCATCTTCTGTAGGGGGGTGCCACCTTCGATAAACCTATGCAATATTGGGTGTCCTGGGACGACAATACAATGAACGAAGGCAAAGTACTTTGCGCTGCTTCACGTCACTGATTTACAATCTCATAAGTGCTCTCAACACTCTGGTACATTGTTCTTTCTGAAGATCTGTTATGGCACATATGATACTGAAATTGAGGTGTAGGCCTGAATGGGAAGACTCAGCATCTCTGCTGACCGGAAGGCCAGTACATGAGGGCGGCAATGCTGTCACTGTTGAAGAAGGACAGCTTGTGGACACTGCACACGATGTTATGAGTTTGCTGTGTTGCGATGGTAGCGGTGGCAAAGAGCGGCGAGCAGTCGAGCAGACTTCGCTGAAGCCTTAGCCCGAAGGCGAAGCAGGGAGGCAATCCCTTTTGAAAACAGCAACAAAAAGGAGCGTTTACTGTAGCAGGTTGTAGTTTGTACAGAGCCGGCCAGCACGACAACGTCGGCTGGGGCAAAATCCTCTAACATGGGGCCGGCACAGCCTTAAATAACGTGTTTGGTCCATTCTCTCAGACCAGTTCTCGGGCTCGGAGGGGGAGACGTAGCCATACCCGGAACTGCAAGGTGGTTCGGCGGAGGAAGCGACATTATCCCCGGAACTGCACGGTTCTTCTGCACGGAAGGCGGCGCTGGGAGGGGGGGAGACAGTTCGTCGGAAGAGCGCTCGATCTCGTGAGACGTGCTGCCGAACGAGGAAAATGTATGTGGCACAACAACGACTGGTTTAAAGTTAAGAAGCCGCATTTTGTCACCTAACAAATCCGAGTTCTCGCCAGCAACTTTATGCTCGCACAAGGGGCGCTTTGTTCCTAGCTCCTCGATGCGAGTGGGGATGTGGTCCTGCATTGAGGTCCGGTTGGAACACAAGGGGCACTTGTGCATTCACGGACACACTCCTATGTGGTTGGTGAGGTCCTGTATCTCCAGAAACTCCAGCGAACAGTAGCTGCAGCTGTAGACTATTCTCGTTGACCCTGCTGCCTCAAACGGAGAGCTTTCCTCTTTGCCAAGGAAGGTGCCAGTTCTCAGAAGCACTGCGTGTTCGCCTCTGAGACATCGTTGCACCCCTTGATGGTTGGCACCCGCCAACTCCAAAAGGGCTGGAACAACTGCCAGAGAAACAAAAGTATAAATTTCAGAGCTCTGTGCTACAAAGTTGCCATCATTAGCATACAGTGCTAACTCAATTACTGAATTATGTTGTGTATATAATTTTATAAATAATAGGTCCTACATAACATATCCAGGCTAAATGCACAGAAACACCAAATACAATTAATGGAAAGATGACCACCACTGTAGCTCATATTACACGTTATCTACCGGCAGCAAAATGTCTATGTCCACTTCAGTTTCTTTACACACATACCGTAATGGCTGCAATAAAACGCTACACATAATGGCGCTGACACGTTCCTTGGCTTCGCTTGTCTCTTGGTCTCATTACGTTGTGCCTCAAAAAAAAAAAAAACAGGCCCTTGACCAATTCCCCTTCTTTCATTCATTGTCTACATACAAACCATCTGAAACCATCTCTGTGGGAAACCCACACAGGTAAAGCGGTGCAGTACGTGTATATAATGCCATAGCTAATTATTTTTGTCATGCTAAACACTGCTACTTTAGCATGACACTAGCTTTACCTACCTACGCAACTATGCCTGGGAGCATTAACGATGTCAGCTCACTTGCACGATAGTGAAGTTATTGCCAAAAAAAATATTTTAGAGATAATTTATCAGTCTAAACTAATTCACTGCTTTACTGAGATGTCCCTTTCAAGCAGAACACTTAATAAATTTAGACTGATAAATTATTCTGTGAGAACTGTATTATCACTCATATGCTGCAAAGGAAGGTAAGGTAGTTGGGATGCCTGAATACTAACTCAAAAGTTGGAAGTTGGATTTGCAGCCGAGATTTACAGCCCAACTTAAAGATTTGGCGCAGAAATCAGCAGATACAGACAAAATTTTCAGACAAAATCCCTGTTTTCAGACAAAATCCAGCAGATAACAATGAAATCAATGCATGTCTCAAAGACTGTCTCGTCTAGCGGTTGAGCTTGTAACCCAGAGGAGGTGACGTTTAGTGCACCTGAAATGAGCATGACAACAATGCCAACTGTTATATAACGACAACTCTCAACATGGTCTGCTCCCACTGTGGTTCCAAAAACCACTGCGAACGGCACCAGCAGTGAACAATTCTCCCAGCTGGGGCAAAGCCGCCGCAGATTGGGGCATGTCTTAACGCATCTGACAAAGAGAGACGATGGGATGAAAAACAAAAATTTAGCAAAAAAAGTAGCAGGACAGAAAACCATGCACCTTCCATGTGCCACAGAGGCATCGATGTCACAACTCGTTCTGGCGTACAAGTTGACACACCTTCAAAAATACAGCCAACTGTTAGTTGAGTCAAACAGACACGTTCGTCGAAACCGTTGTGTCTTCAGTGTAAAGATTCAATGTCTTTGTCATATTTACCTATTTTTGGTCGGTCTCCCATTAAACACAACTTTGACAATTGGTGTCAGTATCGAATTAACTCCACGAGTTGAGAGCAACCTAGGTGTATGTAACTAGTGAGGTCACTCAGGAAAGTTCTGAACACTTACCTCGTCACTCCCCTTCAACTTTGGCGGTGTCCAGCAGCTCTTCAAGATTGGAGGTTTCAGCAGAGTCCGTGAGCACAATTACTGGTCATGAAGCCTTGCGTTAAAAGGTCGCCGCAACTTATGGGAGAACTTGCTGCATGCGGAGGCTGCTGGGTGGGGGGGTGGGAGGGGCTCTGCGTTTTCGTCGGGGGCATCGGGCAGACGGTGGCTGGGCCCAGCCGTGGTGGTCTAGTGGCTAAGGTACTCGGCTGCTGACCCGCAGGTCGCGGGTTCAAATCCCGGCTGCATCTCCGATGGAGGCGGAAATGTTGTAGGCCCGTGTGCTCAGATTTGGGTGCACGTTAAAGAACCCCAGGTGGTCGAAATTTCCGGAGCCCTCCACTACGGCGTCTCTCATAATCATATGGTGGTTTTGGGACATTAAACCCCACATATCAATCAATCAGACGGCGGCTGAATACCGTGGCATGTCACCGCACGTTTTGTATGGTATGTTTGCGGGTCTGGGTCTGCGCGTTGTGCCTGAAGGACGAAAAGTATGCCACGTACCTGTGTGTTGGTCCAGTTACAAGGAAAATGATGAAAAAGTGTGTTCTGGCTGCCCAGACATCAAACGATGGGTCCGCGACAGAAAACTGGTGGTGTCATGTTTAATTCCCTGCGAGTATGTGCAAAAACCATCTTGATGAGAGTGAGATCTGTCACATGAACCAGTGGCTAATCAGATGGTTGTGAAGAAGCCGCACGATATATTGAAGCTGTTGTTGTGCTGAGGATTTTCCACGGCCTCGCGGCATATTTGTCCAGTGCAAAAATGTTCAGAGCTCGCCTGCCTACCAAGCGACGCAAAGAACCGTCAGCCGAGCTGGAAATTGTTGAGGCTGCAACGGCACTGTGCATGAGGCCCTTTGGCAGAGCTGCCATAGATAATGATGGAGTTAATGAAGGTGAGCCTACGAGGCCACCTTTTCTTTATTCCATGCCAGTAATAAAGAAGCTCGAGCAGTCAAATGTTCGCCGTAATTTTTTTCACGAGCACTGAGACAACGAAAAGTGTAGAGGTGACACGTGAAACAGATGGAGCTACATGCAGCTCCTCAGAGCTCGGTTCAAAGCATACATCTGTTGCTTGGAACCGAGACTTCAGCGTTATCAACTAAAACTTGCTGAGGTGACAGCGCAAGAGAGGATGCACAAAAGAAACTGTACAAATCTGGTACACGCTGTACAAGCATGAAAAATTAATTTTCAAAATGAATGCATCACGAGCACGAAACGATAATTTTTTGCGTCGCATGTTGAGTTGGCTGGTGCGAAAATATATTCGTATAGAGACACTGAATATATACATAGCCTGAAATAGTGCACATGTGCTGTCAAGAGTTGCGACCACTGTGCTTCTGCGACGCGTTAAGATTCATCAGAGTCCTTGAAAGGCTCTGGATTGTCAAGGAATGTTCACGAGATGCTTCGGGGGAACAAATAAAGCGTGTTTTTAAAATGGTAGCAATACTCGCAGCGGAAGAAGCACGTGCTTCTTGCCATTGAATGACTAACTTCAAGGCCCCCATTCGATTCTCAATTCTACTGTATTAAAACTTCCCCGAATTTCCTTGACCGTTTCGCAATTCTAATGCGTGCCGTACATTTGCAGTGCCGGGGCCACTCCAATGCCCCCGTGCACACAAGGACGCGCCTAGCAGTTGCTCCTGTCCCTAATCACACTTTTTTTTGAAGCTTCAGGACCAGAAAATGTACTAAGGGTTTGGTTTCAGTCCACCTGTGTATCCTGATGGGAACAATTGATGCTTGCGAGGACTTGCACAAATTTTCGTCGGAGATTCTTGGTGTCTCAACAGCGACGTCCACACCACGTTTTGATGGCCGCGATGACTCTGCCTGTTCTTGCGTCGATTTTGGGCATGTGCTGCTGTTCAGAGATTCGCCGATTTCGACCTGGACAGATGAGAGATAAAAAAAAGTGAACAGGTAAAGGTTTTGGGAATACAAGTCTTGATTTTTTAAAGGGACATGTTCAAGTGGTAATCTCCCTGAAAGTGCAATCACAAGGGCATCTTCCATGTTTTGCATGCTTTCCACTTTTAGGAGCAAGAAATGCAATACTTGTGTCACATCGGCGTCTGGAAAGCCATTGTCAATAGTCAAGCACAAACTGTCACACAAGTGATTCTGAAGGCTATTGAGTCAATAGTCTATCAAGTCAACTAAGCGCGTCAACAGTCTATCAAGTCGAGCACCCCACACCTGCTTTGAAACTTCAATGGCTATTGAGTGATGGAGGCAAAAGCGGTATGAATGTGCTAACACTGACAAGAAGTAACCACGTGGCCACAATTTCGCTGCTCAATAACTTAAAAACCAAATGCACATTAGCAATTATGTGAGACCAACTTATTTAAATGTTTCTAAGAAAAATAAGAGATGCATGTGTACTTTAAAGTGCATCTATGTTATTTCACTTACAATAACATGAAAATGAAGACTTGGAGCATTGCACAATTTTTGCGAGAAACACACAAACCACTTAATAGCTGTTTAAAACTTCGTGTAGCAACGTGACAACTCTATTGAGTTGTAGAGCTGCGATGTTTTGACGGGCGTTGACTCTATAGCCTTTGCAGATAGCCTGTGCAAAACACGCATAACTTGTGTAGTGGCCTGCATCTCGTTCTCACTGTCGGCCCGTTTGCAGCAGATAGCAGGCCTCGTCACGGTGATTTTCAAGCCGTCTTCGTCAGGCAGTCTGCTTTTTCGTGTTGATGCTGCGGCCTGCGAACAGGAATGGCCGCTAATTTTTGAGAGTCACATTCTCCAAGATGCTTAGTATAACAACTCCATCCTTCCCTGTATGTTACTTCAGCAGAGTGACTGGTTGGGCGAGTTGGTTCATTCTTAATAAGCTTATGGCGCTAAGTTAAGAATGGCGCTACGTTACGCTTGTCCTTCTCTCATGTTTTTTTTTGCTCCATAAGCTACGTTAAAACCAGTATGTTAGGCTGTTCTTTTTGGTCTTTCTAGCGCAATTTATTTGTAGTCTAATAGCGAGTCTCGGGAAGCCATTCCCAAAATGTTCATTGTCTTTCAGTCACCTGAAATGTTGTGGGGCGTTGTTAGTCTCGCGTGGTGCTTCAACGCCCTACTCTGCTACTTCAACAGCAGAGCTGTTCACAACCGAAGTGAATCTATGGGGATTCTTCGTCCACACTTTATAACCCAGCTACGAGAGTGAAGTCACATAAAAAAAGAGTGCACGGGCAAAAGTGAGAAAAAAAATTACACCATCTCCCACTAAAGGCAACCATGAGCACCTAGCAAAGCAGGGCACAGGCCGAGCTAAGGAACTGTTTCCCGTGGGCACTTTGCCCGATATTTACACATCCTTGCAAGTAAAGCACAGCATGAATTCCCTGTAGTTTATGTCGCTGTTACTCGCCTTGAACTCTTGTTTGAGCACACCACACAGGTTCATCGCCATTCCACGTGGGCGCAAGTAAGTTATTCGCTCGTCTGCAGAATCACCGATGCCATCACGATTGCCGAGGTAGTGCGGGGAGGAAAGGTCACAGCATCTTACCCAAGCCCTCACACAGGCAGGAACGTGCTGCGCGTTACGGCAGGACTTGGGCCAGCTGTTGGGCAGTAAGAGTGGTCGTGGCGCACACTACTGGACTGAACTACACAATAAGCTGCTTAGCATCTAAAAAGAGCGTAGCAAGTTGAGCCCCAGCTGTTGGGCAGTAAGAGTGGTCGTGGCGCACACCACTGGACTGAACTCCGCAATAAGCTGCTTTGCATCTAAGAAGAGCATAGCAAGTTGAGCCGCATAGAGAAAGAGTACAGACATAGATAGGGTGAAGCTGGTTAGAGAGGGCACAGCAAAAGTGAAGCTGTGACAGAAGCGGTGGTGTGGAGGAGAGAGCAGGCACGCAATTGGCTGTGCCGGTGAAAGGGGTCTCCCAAAGGTAGAGCGCAGGTAATGCTGATCTCACAGGAAGAAAGGTGTGCTGTACGGTGGCGAATACGGAGTAAAGGTACGATCTTGCCACCAGCTTCCCTATTTAATGAGCTTTCACGACATTCAGTAGAAGCTGCACATAACTTTAATATGTTTAATCTTAATTAACCTCCACAGCCACATTTTAATGAAGATATGAAAAGGCTGACAATGTTAACATGAGCCCTCCAATTATCCCCTCTAGAAGCACCGCGTACTTCGTGACAATACACCCAGATCATGAAACCACGCTTCTTGAAACTTGAGTTGCACGCACAAAGCAAATTTTAGCAGTTGACATGCGCTTGTCCACCAGTCCCTTCACTTGATTTCAGTCCAGCAGTCCTCTGGAGCTTCTCTGTCTTACTGTCTCTGCTTTCATTGCTTGAAAGCGCTCCCACAAACAGTTACACTTTACATCCTTCTTCATAAAGTTTGCGTGTAGTTGGAATTTACTCACTACGGTGTGAAGCCTCCTCTCACCAGAGAGCACTTGCTTTGCGAAGTCCACACCAGTATGCCAACAACCCACACAATTCTGCACAATCTGACTCTTCACTCGAGCCGTGAGAGGTGCACACACTTTCGTGATGCAGGCATGCGCAATCATCGCAACTTGCCTCAGGAGCCGATACGATATATGAGCCCGAGATTCATTATAATGCAGGAGTTACCCTTCTCGATGAATAAAAACTAAAACAAATAGTGCAACAGCAAGAATATGGCCATTGTAAAATGCACATTGATTGCTTTTCCTTAATGAACAATTCTGAATTACTCTTATGATTCATCATACATTGGCATGAATGCGTTCACACTCTACACCGATACAGTGCATGACCAAGTAGCGTCTAACTGCACGATTTCCGAACACCAGTATTGCCGTCTTGCGAGACCAATTTCATACAGGGACAATGTCCGAAAGGGAGCATGTAACAGAATGAAAGTTAGGTCAGCGTTGTACATCGATACAGTACATGACCAAGTAGCACCTAACCGCACGATTTCCGAACACCAGTATTGCCCTCTTGCGAGACCAATTTCATACAGGGGCAATGTCCGAAAGGGAGCATGTAACAGAATGAAAGTTAAGCCAGCGTTGTACCCTCTAGGGTGCGAATTCACTTATCATGTTCATAGTGGCAGTGCCGAATCCAGAGAGGGCACAGCACGTAAAAGCATGGCTTCTAAAATGCACAGCACATAAAAGCATGGCACCCTGGTGTTAGAGAATGATAAATTGAGTGACCAGGGATGTCTTGAGGCCAACGTTTCCTGCTACTTTGCAATCACGAAACTATGTAGCAATGTGCGCGCGCTGACTTGGCGTTTAGCAGAAGGATGCGACGACTGCCACAAATTTTTTTTTTCCTTTCTTTCCCACACTCGTTCGACCGCGATCACATCTTCTTTGCCACTATTACCTCACCCAGAGTTAGCAAACAACGTACCACTTTGCCAGTTGCCCGTGCATTCTATTCCTTGCCAGGTTTTCGTCGTGCAAGCGGAACATGCGGAGAAGAAACGGCTATTCACTTCTTTGCAGCAGTTTGTTTTCAGGAGAGGCTCTAGCGGTAGTGACACATGGTTCCCACTGTGATGAAGCAATGTGCCGAATGCCCGACTGAACTTCATTGAAGTCTCGCTATTCAGGAGCGCTTCCTTGCAAAAATTGTCAGCTCTGTCGTGAAGCATTTGCACGTTGCAGTTGTGTAGACTGGATTAATTGCACAGCGAAGAGCTTGCTCGCCACTTTGCATAGGTGGTCGAATGTTTACATCACACGGTTTGTTCATATTGATCGGTGCAACCGAACGTTGGGTGTAACCAACACACGCATGCATTGCTTTAGCACAGTGGGGTCAATCCGCCGCAATCACTATAGCTTCGAAATTATAGTTTCAGCCGACGCATCTCCTGAAAACAAACTGCCGCAAAAAAATAAAATAAAAAATCTACCATTAAGAGAGACCATGAGGCGATGCGAAGCAGCGCGGGGGGTGCACACACCTTGAAGGGGTCGGTTGAATCAGCTCGTCGTTACACTCGCGCAGGAGCACTTGCACCATCGCGTTCGGTTGGGGTTTGTTGTGCATGCTACCGCCCTCGGTCAGATCGTTATCGAACCAATTACGGTCGGAGACGCAGCTGCGCCCGAAGTTCCGGTCGAGGAATCCGCGCTGTAACCGGGCGCCGTCGAAGCCCGGGCGTTGTCTAGCGAGCCGTTCTGCACGGGCTTCGGACTCGCGTCGTCTGTCCGCAGCAGACGCGTTGGCTCGGCGCTGACGCTTAGCTTCGACGTCGGCGTTGCGTACTGCGGGGTTTGATTGCCGACGCTGCCGTTGCCTCTCGGCATGCCGTGCCCGTGTTTCGTCCGTAGTAGTTTCCCGCCGACGTTGCCGTTTGCGCAGGGCTTCCCTAGCCCGAAGCTCGGGGTCCGCCTGCCGACGTCTACGCTGCGCTTCGGCGCGTCGAGCCTTCCGCTGCTCCATCCGCAGTTTCGCGATCTCGGCAGGCGGTAAACTGCAACTGGCGCCGACGTTGGAACTCATGACGCCGGCGCAGTGCTCGAGCGTGAGTACGACCTAACAGCCTTTGATAGAACTATAGTGTACTAGAATATGATAGAACACCCAAGATATATGGAACACCTACATAAACAAGGAGGGGGAATGTGGAGAGAGAGAGAGAGGTTGGCTACGGAGGCGATGTTCCGTGGCCCACTGGTTTGTGGAGGGGATTCACGCATGCGCAATAAGGGAGTCACGCCGCACATCACAGTGGTGTAAAACTTAACGAGAAAGTCGCTAAATTTAGCGTCTTTTCAGTTGTCTAAGCGACAATTACATTTCCTTGGTGTATTGGTATCATACAGTATTAGCATAAAGTTTCTTAGCGGCTAAACTGCTTGTGGTGCTGCGATCTTTATAGTGTGCAATGCTTCCCGGTTCTGGGCGTAGCCTGGAGGTAGCACCGCAGTGAAACTTCATTCGTCACAAATGAACTTGATTTGAAATGTTGCTCAAATATAAAATAACCACCTCACGTGCGCCTTATCAAATCAAAAACCAATGCCTCAAAAAAAAAAATCTGCATATTCACCGTTTAGCGACTTTTAGCCGAAATTGGCGACTTTCCAGAAACGTTCTGGCGACTGCAAAAAAAAAAAAAAAATTTGCCCGCAGCTTCTCTTGGGGGAACACTGAGGAGGATGCGGAGCGTAACTCACGCTAGCCGAGGGAACTCGACCGGCAATCAACGACTGCTTGCACGTAGCACACACGACGTAGTCGGCATAGTCGGTGCCCTTTCCAAACGTATCGCAAAGAACCGACAACGCTTTGGAGTTGTTCTGAATGTTGCCGATCCGAGTTAAGTTGTTATCGAACCAAAGACGATCACACACCTTGCAGGTGTGGCCGAAGCTTCGGTCGAGGAAGTCGCGCTTGAAGCGAGCGTTGGGCGTGGCATACTGCTTGGCGCGCCACGCCGCTACCTCGGCGCGCTTGCGCTCGCGGGCAGCATCGGGATCGGCCTCTCGTCGCCGACGCTTGCACTCGGCTTCCCGTTTTCGAAAGTCCGGGTCCTCTTGTCGACGCTTACGTTTCAAAGCGGCCGAATCCGGTGCTGCTGCTCGACGCTGACGTCTCTCAGCGGCTTCACGTTCTCTAAGTTGAGCATCTTCCGCTCGACGCCGACGTTTACGTTCGGCGTCGCGAGCTCTTCTCCGCCCTGCCTTGTCTTCGGACGACGACTTGGTTGCGGTTCCGCCAACACTTTGGCCGGCGCTGGTCGAAGGGACGTCGATCATTGCGACCTCGGACGTCGACGCGCCGTACAAACCAACCTACGAGTGGCAACTGAGCGAGCGAGCACCGACCTTGAGTATATATACAGCGCGACGGCGCATGCACTGTCAGCTGTCGAATGTTCGAGAAGGGGGAGAAGCGCAACGGCGCATGCGCGCGCGTCAGCTGCCGATGTTCTCGAAGCGTGACGGCGCATGCGCGCTACATTATACAGCTAGCCAATGTTCGTGAAGAGGAGAAGCGCACGCGGTGTGTAGAGGAGGAAGGGTGCACAGATGGTGGAGGAGTGAAGCGCGCGCGGTGTGTAGAGGAGGAAGGGATGCACAGATGGTGGAAGAAGGAGGAGGAAGCTTGCGGACGGCGCCGCACTACAAGCCTCGAGTATTAGATGCTCCGCATCTAAAAAAAACCTTAGCTCTCGATGAACCAACGTTTATATATAAACGTTGCGAATAACTAGATAACAGCCGTATAGTTAATGATAAAAGCATTGTATCCGAAGGTAGGGTGGCTTACCTAAGCGAATCGTGAGGACATGCGAATGCACGGCGTAGTAATTTTAATGGCGTAAACTAATAGGGAGTTTTCGAATAGGGGACCCAGAGAAACAGCGTCGAGACCACTGCGTAAAACCAAACCACGTTAGTGTTTTGCGTTGGGGACGCTACTTTTCGAATTTGGCGGGCGCCCCAAAGCATTCCCCAAAAGCTTTGCGACAGAAGAACATGACACCACCCACATAACGCGCCGCAGACCCTATTCGGAAGCTCTTTGGTCCTGCTTGACCCAAAGCGTGCCTAAGAAAAGGGCTTTGGGGCCCCTATTCGGAAACTCTCTAATGACGAGACATATGCCGTAAGCATTTATTCTTGCGCTATAACTATCGTCTTGTCATACCACCTAGCCCAAGCTGCCACACTCCCTTGCCGGGTTCGGCAAGATCGCTCATGCACTGCGGACGACACCAAACCCTCACGAAGAAGTCACAACTACAGGGGCAAATTTCTCCGCCAAATTTGGCGCCAGCCTGGCAACAACCACCCCTAAATCTGGCAACTGACTTATGCAACGCCAAACAGAACATGGCCATTTATTTACCGTGCAGTTGTTACCAAAGTTGTGGTCCTCGAAGTCCTGCTTCAAACGGGCCCGCCGCCGAGCGCGCGCCGCCGCTTGCGTGGCGCGATCGAGAGCGCGGGCGGCAGCGAGATCAGCCTGTCGTCGTCGCCGCCTACACTCGTTCTCACGCCGCTTCACATGAGGATTGGTGGCTCGCCGTCGACGTTTCTCCGCTGCCTCTCGAGCACGAAGTTCAGCGTTCTCGGCTCGCCGTTGACGTCTCGCAGCGGCGTATCGAGCACATATTTCCGGATTTTGGGCTCGGCGTTGGCGTTTCGCAGCGGCTTCCCGAGCACGGAGTTCGCTATCGGCAGCTCGCTTCGCTCGCTTGCGTGCGGCTTCACGCGCTCTTCGCTTCGCAGCCTTGTCTTCCGCTTCTTTTTTTCCGGTTGGAGACTTTGAAGCTACTGCAGTGACGTCACCTCCAGCGAAAGGTGCAATGCTCGGGTTGCATTGCATTACGCTTCTTGCTTGGAGTACCGTTGCAGTCAGACATTCGACTTTACCGACTTCTGCCATCGCCTTGAGAGGCGCCCAGTCAGCGAACCCGCGATGCGAGCGCCCTCTCACACTAAAGCACGCTCCTCTGCACACGCTCTCAGCCCGCACCACCTGCTCCGGTTACTAGGGGCAAGGATATGTGCGCGCGCCTGCATCTGTTAATATCACGGAGGAAGGAAAGGTGGTTGATATGGGCAAGTGAGAGTGGAGAGATAACACCTGCCGGCGCGCGGACACCGACAGACGCCAGGAGCTGCGCCGTGCTCCGAACCGGGCTGCAGAAATTAGGCTCCTTCTACCAACCACTACCACCACCACAGACGCCTGACATGCAAGGACTAAGAAATGCATTCACATTTAAAAATGACAGCATATCCATGGGGTGAATGACGGAGAGTGGGCGAAGCTCTTGTGTATTAAAAAACGCCAAGGGAGACCACAAGTTCTATCACACGAAGGACAACGAAGATAGATGGCAAACAAATTTCGACGACTTGAGCAACGCCGACTGCCCACCATCACGCAGCGGTACCTCCAGTCCTTGGAGCAAAACATCAATCGAGCCACCAAATTCACGTTCGTTCCCTCACTTTGAGGGATTCCCTCAAAAAAAAAAAAAAAATGTTCAATAAGGACTTAACGTGTGTTTGACATTCATTTTCACATGGTAACCTACAATAAATTGTATTAGCGTCTCGTCTAATATTGATACCATGATGGTGTAAGTAGCCTTGTACATTTGTAGCTTGACATTTATTAAATACTGAATACGCATTACACTAAAGTCGTGCCTTCAAGGATGTTCTCAAACATGCAGAGAAATTGAGACAGCAATTAGTTTTATGGCTTCTACAATAGTACTACATTAGCATCACTTTATGACCAAATCTTGATAGGCATTCCTTCATGACCTCTCGATTGTGATGCAAACGAATTTCTGCAACGCTCTGCTTACAGATAAAGCTACATACTGTCTTCAATGTGCAGAAAACCTGTGTCAGCCCGCTTTATCTGTTTATCAAGTTGTATTGTCACTTGGGTAGGTACAGCAGCCCTCAAATATCCAGTTAGCTAGTTATCTCTCCTTCAGCTCTCCTGCAGTGCGTGCTATAGCCCGATGCATGCATTTCTGTAATTTGTGCAGCCTCATGGCAGAATGTGTTCGTTAACTATGTAACCCGCAATATAATACACACAAGGTGCACATCACTAAGTTGCTCTATATACTTGATGAAACCATAATTATTAAGATAAAACTAAAGAAGGAGATAGAACGTTCAGGGCAATGCATCTATAAAAGCAACTGCTCAATAGTTTGAGCTAAAATGCGTTCAGCAGCCCGTGCTCGTCATACACACGTAGAAACAGTTGCAGCACTTTTATGGATTCAGTAGATCTTTACCGTGACTCAAAATAATTTTTTTATATGGCCGAATTGTCCTGTATTTCCAGGCCTTTGGTATGCATGGTCCGCTATACCAAGCTGCAAATCCGTGTGGCTGGCGCACGAAATGATCACATCTCTTTCGCGAATGTTTCATACCTTGAATCCTAGCGCTTGGAAGGAATCTGTTGCTCAGTTTTCTACATTTTGTAGACACCAACTCAAGGCACACTAACACAAAAACGTACTACGGCTCCACGACTGTGAAACCTGAGGAAGTGTGTCACATGGGTACTCGTTAAGGGTACTTTAAGGGTACGTTAAGGGCACATGGGTACTTTTGTTAAGTAACAATCATTCTGCAAATCCTAATAATTCAACTACGCACAAGAGAAATCTCCTACCGCCACTGCATTGCAGGTCAAGATCATGTGGCTATATATACGGGGCAAGGAACAAACGGTTGAGCAGTGCGAGCAGTTGGTCTTTTTGATGACGAGACTCACTAGCAGACGCTGCATGCGTCAATGTTGTCTTTTGCAGGCAAGGGTACATTCTCGTTCCTGGTGAGGTGGTAGTTACTAAGCGTTGATTGCAGAAAAAGCGCTTCCACGGTCAACGCCCACCGTTTGCGCTGTCTCGCCACGTGGCGAGTGCCGAGGCGGTCGCAGTCTCTCCTGTGCTAAACCAAATGAAGCATCACGACAGCAGATGACGATGCACGCCGACACGCTGAGGTGCTTCACCCCTAAATATAGAGCATGCGTTGCCATATATACTGTACAATAACAATGGATGGAAAAAAAGAGGTGGGACCTGTTACCTCTGTCTCCTACATAACGTGGGCACAAAGATATGCGAGACCTGGCTTTTACGCCTTTTACTGGCGTTGTTTTCAACAATGAGCGTGTGCACGTGCTTGTTATTTAACATAAAAAGCAATATCTTTCTTCCATTATAGTCAGCTGCAAGTACAGGAACAAAAAAGTCTTTTTTTTTTACATATACATTCCATGTCTTCTACTGTTGTTCGAGTACTGTTTATGACGATGAAGTTGTGCCGATGAGAACGGAAACTTGGTAATAAATTTGCAATTATATTTACTAACACATGCTATTTCTTGAATCTATATTTTGTATGCCAGCCATGTGCACAGCACACAGACAAGCACAGATTCTCTCCGACCCAAATGACCCCAGACTGCTGGGTTTAATGCATATATACAGAGATATACAAAGATAACTATGAGTGCACAATTAACTGCAGGTACATGGTAGTGTGTTCAGGCCAACATGTACTTACCATCCAACATCCTCCCTACATTGATTGAGTTACGTCTTGCATGTTTGCTAATGTTTTTTCTTTCTTTTCTAGCATTTACATACAGCGCACACACTGTCATGGTTTCCCAAGTGCCTTGCAAAAAAGTACTTCATAGTCGCAACATCTTTTTTAATTGCAACGTCAGTGGAAAGTACAGGGTAATACTCATTCTTCATGTGGGGATGTTACACAGATGATGGAGTTGGCTTTTGGTATATTGAGGACTGCACCACGACGCTGGAACAGTTTCAACTGCGCAGACAAGCCATCTGAAAATATCTAATGAGGTGAAAGGAGTGCTTCACCACTCCCGATCACACAATCGAGGCATCCTCTGTAGGGGATGCAACTTTTGATACCCCGATGCAAGGTTAGGTGTCCTGGGGCTGACTGTACAATACAACAAATGAAGAATGAATGAAGGCAAAGTACTTCATGCCGCTTCACATCACTGATTTACATGACATAAGCACTCGCAACACTCTAGTACAATGTTCTTTCTCAAGAACTATTATTGCATACCTGATGCTGAACTTGAGGTAATGTCCTGAAAGGAACCGCCCAGGTATCCCCGCTGGCCAGCATGTCACTACACGTGTGCGGTGATAGTGTACAAGAAGGACGACTCCAAACACTGCACATGACCAGCTTAAAGGTGAGACAATGCGTTATGTGTCTTGACGAATCTGATAACCCACCAGCGACTTTGCGCTCGCACAAAGGGCACTTTGTTCCTAGTTCCTCGACGTGCATGGCGTTGTGGTCTTGCATTGAGGTCCAATTTGAAAACGTTTGAACACAGGTGGCACTTGTGTGGCTGCAGCCAAGGACACATTCCGACGTGGTTGGTGAGGTCCTCGGTCTCCCAAAACTCTTGTAGCAGTAGCTTCAGCTGTAGACAATTTTCGTTGACCCTGCTGTCGCAGAGGCAGGGCTTCCCTCTTTGCCAAGGATGATGCCAGTTCACCACAAGCGTTGCGCATTTGCCTCTGGAACATTGTTGCACAACTTGGTGGTTGGCAGCCGCCGTCTCGGCAAGGACTGGAACAACTGCCAACGAAACGAAAGTATAAATTTGAGAGGTTCGTACTGAAAAATTGCCATCATTAGTATGCAGTGCTAACTCATTCACCAAACTGTGTTTTCTATATAACTGTGTATGTAAACGGTGAACGATTACATACTCGGGTATCATGCACCGAAATACCGAATAATATAAATAGGAGGTTGACCACCACCGTAGCTCAGCTGAATTAGTAGAGGTTTAGACGCCTTATCTGAAGGCTGTAGGTTCGATTTTTTTGGCAGAAATAAGTCTTTTTATCTACTTCTGTCGCTTTAAATTTATACCGCAATCACTACAGCACAATTAAAACACCACACATAATGCTCCGGACATGTTCCCGAACCTCGCTTTTTTGTTGGCTTTATCAGGTTGTGTCTAAAAGAAAACAAGCCCTTGACCAAGGCAACCCTGCACATTGTTTGTTGTCTATATACAAACCATTTGAAACCATCTCTATGGGAAGCGCACACAAAGTAAAGCGGTGTAGTACATGAACATATTGACGTAGCTCACTACTATACTGAACACTGCCACTATTGCAAGTGTGCATGAGAGCCTTACCACTCGTCACCACTGAGGATATTCATGCAGTCAAATAATGTACTGGACACCGGAGAAAATTATGTTTAGGAAAATGACGGAGCTATGCACGATCAAGGCATGTGTGGTTAGTTCATAACGGATTTATTCCCAATTTTTGTCTTTTTAGAACTCCAAGAACCAGCGTGGCTCTGCACTAGAACACTCAACTGCCACACAGAGGGACAAAAATCTCATCCGATTCAGAGTATCTATATTTTTTTTGTCAATTTACCTAATAGTGGTTACAGACACTGGTGGCGGTAGTGTACCACTACACCATCAAAATCAGCTGTGGTGGTAAGCTCAAAACAGCTTTCACTGTGAAAAGCGAGAGATTCTTCTCGAAAATGCACACCGACGTAACATATATCTCAGGCAAAGGTTGATTGAAATGCTACTTACTGGATTGAGGGTCAGTGTCGCTTAACGTTGCATCGAGAGGCTGCATCTCCTTGAAGACTCTTCGAGGGGGACCCTCTTCGAAGGGGACCTCTTTTGGTCGACAGGGTGGTGCCCACGGCTGTTTGGTCACATTGAGGAGCACCCCTTGAACTAGCCAAGACAGAGGTGGGTGCCGCGACCACCAACTGGCAGCTATTGATGACTGTGGGCTCTTGCACCAAAACCTAGGCAGAGAGAACAAATGCCAGCATTTGGCAGTGTCCCAAAGTACAGCCATCACACTTCGTCAGCATGAAGACCACAAATATGCAAAATACATGTGCCTTGTAATGGTCAAAGCTTTATCAAATATTCAAGCTCTCATAGTTTTGATGAATAAAGCACGGAAAAAGAAATTCCAAACCTGCACACAACATGTAGCGAAGTCGCAGAGTAAGCTGGAGGAGTGGCCTTAATCAAAGTCAGCTGTAAACTCTCCTGCATGCTTACTACTTGTGCAGGGCATGCACTGTAATAGAGTGCAGTGTTTCAATAAGCGTAGCAATATTTGTCATGATATAGTCAGGCATACTTCTTGCAATCCTAAACATTGTTGCAAAGTACTATTATCATCTTTTGAAGGTAATATGTGGCTGGTGCTGCGGTTGATCATGATGGTGAAAGTATAGTGGCATACATGATATCTCGTACACATATACTGATATACCAAGATTGTTAAGAGGAGACAACACCAGAAGGGTGTATTTACATTATGTACGGAATAAAAGCGATGGCACAAACAGGAGACCTCTTCCTCGACCTCTAGGTCAGCGGAACATAACATTACCCCCGGTGGCGAAAGCAGCGACCCGTTGCATTTGGACCAAGATGGTAGTGGGAAGGGCCACTATACCCATGCATCGGCGAGGTCCGGTGTATGATAAGGCTTCAGGCAGACCACATAAAAATATATCAAGCCACAAAGCACACACAATGCAGTGGCAATGTCAAAGGCAACACTAAAGTGCTCAAATCTGACTCGGCCAAACGATTGCCAATGCTAACGAACTCGTGTGCAATTCGTGCATCGGTGTGACTGAACAACTGTCCTAATCCACTGACATAGGTGAAAAAGGAAGCGACAAATGGGTAGAACAAAACCGACTGCGCTCATCAAGCTTGATGGGGGGTTCCACAATTCCATCCCATTGTCAGCAAGAATGTTACCATATGTACCGCAATGACTTACACAAGGGGAGCACCTTTTTACTTGTATTGAAACTTCGACGATGCGTGGACCCTTCCTTGAGATAGGAACCTTTGGCATATTTTTCAGACTATGAGAAGTGCTGTAATGAGTGCTGCAACACACGCCACCACAAAAGCTAACGTTATACTTTTAGTGATGACTATTAATTTATGCATGTACATCGTGCAGTCAACTGCAAGTCTTTACAGTCGCTGTCGCCGCTGCTCACATTCAACCGGCCGGCACATTGATCAATAAAGCATACTTCCACGACACAATGAAATTGGATACCCCCTTTACTATACAGATGAGATTCATTCAATAAAATGCACCACAAGCAAACGAAAAATCAGGAGCCCTTCCACTACTCGTAAAACGAAGAAAATGTGCATGCCTGAAATTTTACTCTTTTTCATTTCATTGAGCAACAAACCCCACAACTGCTTCCTTGTTCTACGCCGAGAATCGGACCTTCAACCCCTCGGCTAGCCACGGAACGCTTCAGTTGCCAGTGGCAACAAGGACGACCGCGCCTTCGTACCCAGGCAACAATGAAAAGTGGCAACGTAAAGCGATGAGTCACCTCCACAAAAGATCATATAGCCGTACTACTGATGGTGGAAAACCAACAAGCCCGCAATGGAGAGAGCATCAATCCTTTGAAAGCGGCACATTTGCATACCCACGTGATTGGTGAACATTCAAGAGCTTCATTTCTCGGTACCTGTAAACGCCAAGTTTTTTTTTTTTTTTTTTCAGTCACACTATTAACGCCCACGACACTTTTGAGGGTATACAAGCTTCACCTGAAAAGCAAACCAGATACTACTTACTTCACTGCTGCGCAGTTTAGGCACTTCTGGAACGTCGTCCACATTAGAAAGCCTCCACATTCCACTCTCACTTGAATCTGTATAAAAAAAGAAGGACACTAGTTTTACTGCGTTACCTGCCTATCATTCGTATACACTCCAAGCTATGCAGCGCCAAAATGCCCCCCCCCCCCCCCCTTTTTATTTGTCGAACAGAGCGGTGGGCTAACTGTTAACAATCGCTTTTTCACGTCACTTAGCAAGATTCCCAGAGAGGGTTGCCATCAGGTAGGCGATGGCTCAATCTCCAAAGGGCATGCTTCAATCAGTGTGCCCCTTTAGAACAGTAACGTCGAATACCAATTAACAAGGTTAACTAAACCAGGTGTGGTAGCCAAATACCAGAGTCTGGATGTCGAATTAGAGTAGCTCATTTACAAGTGCTAGACAGCTCCATTCCAATGGAACAAATCGTAGCGGCCTAGCATGATCCTTCGGGACATAGCGAGCTAAAGGCCGCACACGATTCACCATATATTCACCATAACAGCGCAAGCGTTTTAGCCGATCGCCGCTGGAAGAAACTTGGACAGTGTGGACATGTAGTGCCATGTGATGGCGTTTATGCGCAACCAGACAGGTTCAGGAAAAGGATTACGCCACAGGTAGAAGCGGACTCAATTGGGTTCTGGTTTCGTTGTTGCGGTTTCTTGCTAAATCAAAATTATATTCGAATTTGTTGAGCATTTTAGCTATCGGGCATATGACAAGTGTCTTAGGAACATAAAAGCACTATTGTCCTGATGTTGTCAAAAAATCACCAGAGTTGGCCTTTAAATGCAAGAAACTTAATTTTTAATGGTTATTATCATTAAATTTAATGAGAAAACAACTATACCATATTCCTGTATTTTGACAAAGTAATCTGAGATAAAGCATCCCCTTATCGAAACACTTTTCTGTGATGCTTCTCTTCAAATGCGATTGCATACGTGCAAATGTTCATTCATTGGGACCTTCAAGCACTTCTTAAAATCGTTCGCAAACCTACTCGGTCGGTACTGTATACCCGCCAAAATAATATTCTAATTTGAGCCCGATGCGCAGAGTGTGATTTTAATATTAACAAGCTTTTATTGAGCATTCGCAATAAACATGATGTGGCAGCCCACTGCACTGTGGTGAGGTTAGTAGCAACATAAGACGACACATTGCGCAGCCAGACATACACTGTGGCAGCCGTGATGCTGTGCCTCAACAAGGAGCACAATAAAACAACAAGACTGAACTAGACCAAGAGACATCTTCAAATCCAGTTTGAAGGTAACCATGCATCGTCTGATCCAAACCTTCCAACCCTCGAGAAGGCTTGAATTTGCTCCCGATTGCTTAAAAATGTTGGGGAGAAAAGGTACAGCTTGGGTGGAATACAACCGCTAAGCATACAAATTGTTTTTATTCATCAATTTTGATAAAAATTAGTGAGCTTATGCATATTTGTGTGCTGATTTAACACATGCGATCATTTTTCCTGTATAACGTGTAGTTTTTAAAATAAATATTTTACGTGCCTTTTAATAGAGTTACTCGATAAATAAGCAAATCGCAATAATCTGAAATTGGAGCCGATTGCAGTGTAGCAAAACGAATGTTTTAAAGCTATGGCATTTCGGACATTTACCAGTGAAATCCTAGCTCTAAATTTGCTCACTCAAAAGTGTTCGACGTACCGTAACTTTTGTTGAAATTGATCTAAAACATCTATTGCGCTGTTCTAAGTTCCCATTGCAGATTACTGTAACTTTGTAGCTCTCTTAGTTCACAAGAAATCTTGGTCCCCAAAAGGCGCATGAAATGTTTTGTATTTCAATATTACACCTTATACAAGAAAAACAACCCCATATTTAAGATCGGCACACATATATACATAAACACGTTACATTTAATAAAGATCAATTATGAAATAAAAAAAAAACTTCTTTTAGGAGCAGTGTCTGCCTTAATACAAGGTGCTTAATTTAGAATGTAATGCCAATGACATACTCACCTTGTGACCCGAGTGCTCATAAAAATTAAAGAAGAAATGTTTCAAGGACTATTTAATTTACCATTTTTCACAGGCATTACGATCCACTGTTCATAAATGCAAGTAATTGATGCCAAGGCTCTGGAGACCGAATTTTAAACAGCGAAAGCATAAGAATAGATTTTAGCATCCTTCACAGCAATCAATTCCAATTTCAGCACCATTGGTCATTCAATATTTCTGGCTAAAGAAAATTCAAGGACCCACTCAAATTATGCACATTAATTAGTTACCTGCTGGCTGCGAGCATGAAACACCTCTAAAATTACTTCCGAAACGCCCTACGGCTATTGCTTAATTGAACAGCGCACTGATGCCGCCAGAACGATTGTGTGTAGCGAAAAGTTTCAACCACAAGTGATATTAACAGCCAGAACGATTGGGTGTAGCGAAAAGTTTCAACCACAAGTGATATTAACATCTTTGGGAAACGATGATGCTTAATACCATTAGCTCATCGTATGTGTTCACTTCCTTACCAGGTGTGCACAGCATAGAAATGAGGAAGAATAAGTGGCATTCCCAAATGGGGATGCAGTTTCACCAGAGGTTAAGGGTTCAAGGTAAATCTGAGCTGGCTCACCCGAAAATTCTTGCGTGCCAGTGTCGTAATCACCAAGATCCGTGGTGTCCGTCCCCCTGTGCGCTTTGACAGTGGGGAGCGATGCCTGGGTCCACTTTGTCATTTTAATGCTTATTGTCGTACCAACTCCAGCGTCCGCTTTGTTGAGGGACGACCATAAGAGCCCCGCGGGCAAATTGTTCATAAATTCACCATGGTTGTGGGAACAGGTGACCTCCCTTTTTCCAGCCTAGATAAACAAGAGCACGCGCATGATGAGAACCTGGCAATCCATCCAGAATCAACCCAACTACAGAATGGCGAACTGCTGCTAAGTTTCGAGGCACTTGACCTCAAGGAAGGTGGGCAGCTTCCACAGGCAGTCAACTGGCAACAGAGAGTTTTCTAAATATACACTAGAGAGAATTCTGGCGCTAGTGCCGATGGGAGCTACAACTCGCGGCACTTCTAGCGAGCATGGGAATCGTGGGTATGACATGGATTCGCCTAGTCCTTCGTGCTTTACGTTCGTTCCGGCTTCGCGTGGCTTGAAGTTGCTTTTTCACAAAACAACAATCGGCAAATGTTCTGCAGTTGCACTTCACCATCTCAATATTTTAGGCTTATCACTTCAAATCGGGTCATGAAGTGAAAAACGGTTTGTTCTTTCCTTCGAAACAAGACCAAAACACAGCAATAAATGAAGCCACAAGTGCATTCGCTGTTCGCAAGCATGAAGACTAGGCAAATCCATGTCATACCCATATCTCCAATGGTCGCCGAAAGATCACAGTGCCAGTGTCCCCTCGAGTAAATTTTAGGAAACTATGACTGGCAAAATTTAGAACTAAACGTGATTCAAACACAAAGCCTTCATTTTTCCATTTTTTTTCAAATAAGATTCAAGAGTGCCGAGAGTTTACAGCTTCGTAGGCATAGTTATATCAAAACAAAACTCTTTCCTTCCTCATAATGTCACTGACTATAAAAGAGCATGGTTGCCTTGAATCGCCCTCATTGCGGGCAAAGAAAACAGACAACCCAGCCTTCCTCATCATTCAAAAATCACACACACCTGAATGCCTGGCAGCCACAAAGATAGGTAACCGCAGGATGAGGGTTTTTCTTGGGCTCCGACAGCAGTGCTGCTTCTTGTGTACGTGATGCTTCCAGGCTTCTTCGTTTTCGCGAATGTGGCTTAGGTTTGAATTCGGACCCGTGGGCCGCAGGGAAAATTGTCGGCACCGCATCCTCCGTCAGAAGCGTGCGTCCCATTGGCGCCTCCAACGTTATCCCATCAGACGACGTGTACCTAGATATGGTCCTGAGGCATTCTGGCTTGAAATGAAGTTCGCAAACCTGCAAAGCACGAGGCATAAATAAATAAATAATCTTCCAAGCACTCTGTACAGATGGTTGACCAGCGAATCTGAAATTTGTGGATCTGGTGCTTTCTAACTGGGCTAATTGCAACAGTTCGTTAATGCCTGTGCTTTCTTACAATGAGAATGACATTACTGACTAGACAGCCAATGGAGCGGCCACTGTTTCATTATTTTAGCACTCACTGTGAACCTGCTCTTTTTCATTTTTAACGAGCGAGTTAGTGGGGACTAGCGGAGCAAGTCCAATTTCTGGGCCACACAGAGGCTAGCAGAACGAACATAGGAAGGCAAACACAATATGAATTAATTTTGGTTTCGCCTAGCAATACACACCTTTGCTGTAAAACAATCAAGAAATGGGTTTGTCCAACTGTATTTTTTAGATCTATCCACGCTGGGTCCACACGTCAGCAAAAAAAAAAAAAAGATTAGGCTACATCAGACATCAAATCTGTGTACAACAACAGCAGCGAGGAACCCGACAACGTATCACCACAGTAAAAAATGAGTACAAAAGGCACAACCACCCACTAAGACAGTTCGTCAAAAAACTGCAACATGCGAGTTATAATCAGAGCAGCACAAAATTAATGTCCATTGTGGTAATACAGTGGTTACGATGCTCGGCTGCCGACGTGAAAGACGCAGGTTTCATTTCGATTACAGCAGATGTGTTTCATAAGTGAAATGCTAGGCACCTCTCTGTCCTATGTAACTGCATGTGGGTGGTTGAAGTTCCCAGAACACCTCTAGTATGGCATGCTTCACATTCTGGTTTTGGCACGTTGATTGATATGCGCGGTTTAATGTCCCAAAACCACCATATGATTATGAGAGACGCGGTAGTGGAGGGCTCCGGAAATTTCGACCACCTGGGGTTCTTTAACGTGCACCCAAATCTGAGCACACGGGCCTACAACATTTCTGCCTCCATCGGAAATGCAGCCGCCGCAGCCGGGATTCGATCCCGCGACCTGCGGGTCAGCAGCCGAGTACCTTAGCCACTAGACCACCACGGCGGGGGGGTTTTGGCACGTAAGACCACACAAGTTATAGCATCACAACTCGTGACTCGCATGCACCGTGATGCTAGCAAGCTACTTTAGAACAAAAATGAACGAATCTACACCACACAGCCCTGTGAAGTTGTAAAAACCACATTTTTCCTTAAAAGAAATTTGCCCCTTTTCAACAAACGATCTACACCAGCTGTCATTATGCATTCACCTCCTACAGAAGATAACGTGAGAATGGACATTTTTCAGAAGGCTTCAACCAAAAACTGGAGGTATTCACCCACACAGCAGAATTAACACGAGTCCTTTTCCCGGGACTCATGATAAGTGAGACTCCCTCACTTTTCATGCTGTGGTGATGTTAATTGACGGCAAATTTCCTGTGCAACGGATTATGTTACTTTTAGTGTTTTGATCGAACCACGACTCCAGTAGCAGCCTTTTTTGTTGGTTAACTTCTGTTTGGATTTAGTTCTTTTTAAGGCCATTTCATGATCACCAACTTTTTAGTGTTCTACGGGGGTGGTCCTTGCCTTAAAAAGGTTCTTGTTAAAGGCTGCATCAAAGCGTCTCCGTTGTCCCCCGAAGAAGAATTCGAGGCGAATATTATATTAAATGTCAGGAAATAAACCCATTGTCTGGTGGGAGCCCTTCCAACCTTGTTATTCACCCGGCGAGGCAGGTAATCTCGTCAAAATGTTCAGCTTTAAGAATGCGAGAACATGGCGTACCTTGGGATCACGTAATGTAGCGATGTCAACATCGCTACGAGAGATTGCTCTCTGCCACACGATTCTGCGAGCAGCATCACGAGGCAAGGAAAACACTCGGACTTTGGGACCTTTATCGTAGTTTCCACGGCAGTAGGGCACGCAGCAACGAGTCATGGCTTCTCCCGATGATGGCAGCCACGTAGAGACCTCGCTGGTCGACGTTGCAGACGCTGACGTCGCCGCCTGCGGGTGCTGGCTCCCTGCTACACAATCCCTGCAGAATCAGCACCGCCTGAAAAGCTTGCCAAGTGGCCACTCTTCTGGCAAACGAATTTTTCGCAAAGTCCCCACAATGGAATTTGTGAAACGATAACACTTTATCAAACAACACAACCGAAAGCTGAACGCGTATGCAGCAATCAGCTAAAGATGCTCCCTGCTAGATAGCCGAATTCGCATTCTCGACGACGAAAATTCCAGATTTTCGTATGCAAGATTCTTTAAGATCGCACTAACTTCTCTCTAAAGAAACATGCTCAGGAACATGAATATTTATGCAGTTTTCTGAAAAAAAAAAAAGCAATTACAAATGGTGACATTTTTTAGAGATCACTTCAAACACAAAAAAATGCACCTGATTGTACGAACTATTTATAGCCTCAGAACAACGCTGTTCACTGAGAAACACTACCTTTTCAAACCCCCACCAAAATTTCCCGAATGTATCAACTCGACTCTCTACACCTTCCCAGAAACTCCAAAATATCCCACAGATATGTTGCCCCACTGACATCGCGCCACGGACATCGTATGGCACTGGGGGACTACAATACAAGAATGAGTTCTGGACCTATCACGGACTTGGGCACTATGATGAAGCAATTGGCCAACTACATGGGTTATGAGCAGCAGACGGATTTGCCTATTACTCGTGCTTGTGGCTTTGAATGCACTAGCGGCTTTTATTGTTCTGTTTATGGTGTTATTTTAGATAAAATAATGGCCTCATTGTGAACACCAGAGACCCGATTTCACTTGGTCAGCCTAAAAGGGCCAAGATGCATGGTAAATTATGACTGCTGCACATTTGCTGTACTTTGTCTTGTGAAGGCTACACGAGGCTTAGCTTAGGCAAATACACCAACTACCCAAAACTCCCATGCACCTCATGCGTTTGAGTTGCCATAGACAATAGTGCTACGCTTTTCTCTAGCGCACTATCATAAATTCTTGAAGTACGTACGTTCCATCATTAACAAAGCCAAATCATGAAAGAAATTGAAAATATCATGAAACAAAAAAGGCAAAGCTTTGAAGGCAGTGATCGAAGCTGGTTGATTCTCAAGTTTGAACAAGGTTTTTGCTAGGCATCACTACGTATGGCTAGCAATCTCTAGGTTTCGCGCTGAAGCGACAGGCTTGCCCAAGTTTCGTGCTCGGAAACTCTCAGCGATGCACCGGTTATTTCGCACAAGTGGTATACGTCCAAACTTTGCACAGGAAATGCTCGGCCCCATGAAGACCAGAAACGAATTTGTGGCGATTTTGCATGTATTCCCTTCGCCCAGTGGCACATCCTGACTCTTCCGCCTGCTGGCGACGCTTGGTAGCAGCGTCTTCGGCTCCATAAGCAGGATCGGCTCGACGTCATCGCGCACGTTTCAGCTTGGCAGCACACCGCTGTTTTTCATACACGGCTTCTTGTTCCAGAGTCAGTCTTGTTCCATGGCATACCTTAGGTGCACACACACTCCCAAAATGAAAACTGCCGGCGTGCAGGCACGGTTGTGCGCAATGTCAACACCTTTTAGATTCCAAAGGCATTTCCTATGGTTGCCTGATGTCACCCCATGGCATAGGCAATGCGTTTCGGTATTCTGGAGCATCACGCTTCGTTCTACTCCTGTTGTAAGAGTCTGTGATGGGTGCAAAATATTACGTCATATCTTTAAAAAGCTTCTTCGGGCACAAGTGAAGCATTCTACACATGGTTTTACTCTCGTACGAAGAAACCATATGACACCATAACCATGCTGACGACACATGGCTGTGGAAATTTCAGCCCTCCTCTGGTTAGGTTCGCTATCATGGAACTATTTTCTGCCTGAATTTCCCTGTTTTCCATAACCAATGACCGGAAACAAGTAGAGAAGGAAAGTTTCTTGGAGGCCGCATGTGCAGCATATCCTGCGATGTAAACAACGGCATCCATATCGTGTTGGGAGCCAGCGATGTTGTCTTCACTGACAGTCACGGAAAACTTGAAATCCGTAAGACGCTCATTGACACTTCCAAACTCTGTTTTTCATGTGAAAATGCCAATTTTAAGATGAAGCTTCTTCTCACGTCCGCAGAGTTGACGCACGAAAATGTGGTACTGTGCTCCTGCTAATTGGCGATACTGGCCGAAGCGAGCTTCCAGCTCATCCTTCCGAAATTTACTGAGTACGACATACTTGAAGTGAAGTACCTCTAAACAGTAGCATGAGAGTTCAATCGGGAAGCAGCGCACCAGTCTGAAAGCACTATGTGTTTATTTCATCAGGGATCGGCTGCTGATGTCAATTTTCCCTCAGGCGCCCAGCCAATCTAAAATGCCACTAAGGAAAGCCAAATGTATGTCATTGACAGAGCTTACAAGATCTTGCTGAGTCGCTTGCCTTTACAAGACATCCTAACATTAACTACTCGCACCAAGTGAGGATAATGTGAATGAAAAGTGCAGTTGACTCGGCTTGAGTGACCTTGAATGCAGAACCGGCGTCCTGGTAGCGTTCAACACAAACGGGTTGATGACATCTAGAACTAGCTTTACACTTTACAGCTCCAGAGAGGTTGGATTAATGGTATTTGCATTCAGTTTTATAGCCAGCCTTCACAAGAGACGTTTTCTCTGCAATATAAAGCTGTCTAACATCGGCGTAAGAAGCATGTTATGTGGTCCTTCAAGCATCCTTCTTGTCAAATCTAACTTCAGGGAAATAAAGGTAGGTTCCAGGGTGTTTCCAATTAATCTAATTGTTCCCGAAACACTTCAAGAGATGCCCAGGGTTGACAACGTAGGAAAAGGAAAGAGCGTTATCTGCTGGGTGTGAATAAACAATGCTCACTTGAGAATGTGAATCAAATAACAACATAATCTTTCTGTTCAGAGCGTTGTCAGTTACTGCAATGATAACCCTAAACCCACATTTCCTCAATATCTACTATAATGTTTTCGGTATGCTCGTGCAGAGTTCATGTGTTCATTTTGCACATGGGCAGTAAACGAATCACGTCCTTGTTCGGAGAAAAGAGCAACTGCACCACAAATGCATCGACTGTTGTTGCTGGTACTGAAGAATGAACTGCTTTTGCTAATATTGTTCCCTCTTGGTAATTAAAGTAAGGCTTTATGTGGAGCTCATCAATCATCAGGGTTACAGTCTTCTCATAACTTTTTATTGACTTCACTCACTCACAAATGTAAAAAAAAATTGTGTGTTTGACTGATTTATTGTAAGTGGGTCAGCTCTGCAACTTGAGCATTTGCTGGGCTGTTGAAGGATGCGGCAAAATTACTCCTATAAATGTTGGGGTTCAACGTCCCAAAACCACCATATGATTATGAGAGACACCGTAGTAGAGGGCACCCGGAAATTTCGACCACCTGGGGTTCTTTTAACGTGCACCCAGACCTAGGCACATGAACCTCAAGCATTTTCGCCTTCATTCAAAACGTGGGAACCGCGGCCCGGTCATCAGCCCAAAACTATTCTTGATGCAGCTCTCATAAATTTACTGAGTACGACATACTTGAAGTGAAGTACCTCTAAACAGTAGCATGAGAGTTCAATCGGGAAGCAGCGCACCAGTCTGAAAGCACTATGTGTTTATTTCATCAGGGATCGGCTGCTGATGTCAATTTTCCCTCAGGCGCCCAGCCAATCTAAAATGCCACTAAGGAAAGCCAACTGTATGTCATTGACAGAGCTTACAAGATCTTGCTCAGTCGCTGGCCTTTACAAGACATCCTAACATTAACTACTCGCACAAAGTGAGGATAATGTGAATGAAAAGTGCAGTTGACTCGACTTGAGTGACCTTGAATTCAGAACCGGCATCCTGGTAGCGTTCAGACCACGAAGTTATTCAGGCCTCCGTTTCTATAGTTGACATCCCTATACCGTCCAACTCCTTTTCTGCATATCTTGACTTTAACCATGCCGATGACACCAGTATACTTGATCATCTTTTCCATGAACTTGCTTCATTTGAACTACTTGCGAATGATTCAAACATAAATGTGGAAATACTATGGGCAAGCTTCAAATCAGTCGTAACACATTGCGTTCTTAACTATGTGCCATCTAAAACAAAGAAAACACGAAAACATAATCCCTGGATAACGCGTGAAATTATTCATTGCAAGCGTAAAGTAAAGCGCCTCAAAAAAACTTTGAAGGCAAAACCTACTCCTCAAATTCGGAACAAGTTGAGTCACGCTATTACTAAGATGAAATCCCAAATAAAAATGTCCAAAGCAAACTATTTTACAAGTACGCTACCCAACTTTTTGAAAACGTCTCCCCAGAAGTTCTGGAACTACCTTGATCCCAAAAACCGTATTAGGCCCGCGGCCCCGGAAGAAAGCAAAGATAAAGCAAACTCGCTAAATAACTACTTCCAATCTGTTTTCACGATTGATGATGGAAATGTGCCTGATGTTGACATTTGCAACACCCGACATATTGAATCACTTGTTGTGACAGAGTCTGGAGTGCTTAATTTGTTGTTAAAATTAGATACTAAGAAGGGTGCCGGTCCCGATAACTTGCCAAATGAATTTCTTAGGCGAGATGCTGAATGGGTAGCCAAATACTTGTGTATACTTCTCAATAAGTCCCTATCAACCTGTTCCCTCCCCCAAGAACAGAAAATCGCAAAAGTAGCTGCTGTTCATAAATCTGGTAGCGAAGCTGACCCTTCGAATTTCAGACCCATTTCACTAACCAGCACAACTTGCAAACTACTGGAACACATTATTCTTAAACATCCCACGTTGTACCTTGACCAGAATCACATCTTATTGCCACTACAACACGGTTTTCGCAAAGGACTATCTACAGTTACCCAACTGGTTGAACTAATTCACGACATCTCCCTCAATGTAGACTGTACAAAACAAACTGATTTAATTCTATTAGATTTCTCAAAGGCGTTTGATCGGGTGCCACACAAAAAACTTATAAAAAAATTAGAAGCAACGATAGGCGCAGGCCCACTTACTGACTGGATCGACAATTATCTGAGTAACTGAACACAGTATGTGCAAGTCAATTGCGAAAGTTCTAGCATAGCCAACGTTACGTCAGGTGTACCGCAGGGCAGTGTTTTGGCCCCCATTTTATTTTTGATCTTCATTAATGATTTACCTGCTGGCATTGGTGTTAATGTGAGGCTTTTCGCCGATGATTGTATACTTTACCAGGAAATTAACGCCCCAGAAGATCATGTAAAACTGAACAATGCCTTGCAGTTCATATCTAAGTGGTGTGCTCTTTGGCAAATGACCCTGAATGTTAAAAAATCTGCTCTCTTGAGGATAACAAGAAAAAAGCAAGTATCTGAATTTGTTTACGTTATAAATAACTCTCCACTTCCGGTAGTGACTGAACACAAATATCTAGGTTTAACCTTAACGCAAGATTTTAGATGGGATATCCACGTTAGTCATGTCACATCAGCTGCATTAAAACGGCTGTTTTTCCTTCGTAGAAGTCTCGCTTCCGCGCCACCTGAAACGAAACTTCTAGCCTACAAAGCGTTCGTCAGACCTGTCTTAGAATATGCAAACGTCGCGTGGTCTCCCTTTACAAACAATCTCATAAATGCCCTAGAACGAATACAACGAAAAGCGATAAGATTTGTCTATAACAAGTACAGAATAACTGACTCACCCACAGAACTTTTAAAAAAAGCAGGTCTCTTAACAATAAAAAACTGCGCTAAACTGGCACGTCAGAAATTCCTATATCAGTTAGTTCACCAACAGCTAAACATAGACAGTTCAAAGTACATGTCATTTAAAGAAACAAGGCCAACACGACAAAAGCATTCTCAGACACTGAATGAATATCAGTGCCGGACGGACTGTCTGAAATATTCTTTTTTTTCCACTAGCAATTCGCGAGTGGAATAACTTGCCAATCAGTATAACAAACAGTCAATCACTGGAAACTTTTTCATCCCTGCTCGAATGTTATTTATTGTCATCAGAATTGACGAACTCTGTTTTTTTCTTGTCCACTGTTTGAAGTGCTCACTATTCTTTTTGTTCAGTACTAGTTGGAATTGATGTCCTATGCTACTGAATGTATTTTAGTGGTACTGATGTAGTCATCAAATGTATTTCTGTCGGCTTTGTCTCACTCGTTATTATAATAATTCAGTGAGTACCCTCTGTATAAAGCTTGCCCTTTCGCAATGTATGTGCCCTTCCTGCAATAATCCCTGTTGGAATTGGCAGTATATGTAAATAAATAAATAAATAAAGTGATATACATGAGGATAAACTGAGGAACAAATACTGAAAAATGTCAACAGTTCCGTGCCATAGCCAGGCTTTTTGACAAGGAGATGGCCCAGTCACTCTCAGAAAATTCAACGAAGCGCAATGTTCTTTTGGCATGTTAGTACCAGTAGCGACGTCTTCAAGAAGCAAAGTGATAAACCTTGGTACTTCAGCATGTTACGATTTTTTTTTCTAATTTTAGGTATCTCACTAAACTGGCTCTCAAAGCTTCTCCAACAGCAAGGATGGGGCGAGAATGTCGCACACTCGACTTGGCAACGCGCGACCCCACAGAAGCAATCAGAATTGCTCTCCGCTGAGAACAACAGAAAGTGAGAGATCTGGGAGAACAGTCAGTGAGTACTTAACGTAAGAAGAAGGATTGTTTTCAATGACAAGAAACCTTACGCAACTTTTCGCCAATGGTTGCTGTCCAAAAATCATTATCGCAGATCCTTGATGGCTTTGTCTTGAAGTCTGTATATGAAGACTCCTTCCTTTCTTGCTCAAGTTCTTTAGATTCGAGCGACTCTTTTACAGCTTCTTGCGAAGCACCAATCTCCCTTGGCTTTGAGGTCAAGCATTTCCGACAGCTTGGAAAGATGGAAGGTACAACATTGCGCTTCAACTGGCGTTTCGCCCGCTTTACTTCTATTGTCCTTCCTGTCCGTTCGTCATGATACGACAGCATCGTTGAGAAATCCTCAGCGTTGAAGTGCAGTTCACAAACCTGCGGGCGCAAAAAAAAAAAAGGTGACTGTTATACATGCGCTACACATGAGACTCACTATGCATAGATATAACCTGCAAAAAGCTGTCCCTTAATATACGATTTAACTGCGGTATACGCAGGACGTCGTTAAAAAAAAAAAAAAAACGGCACAGTGAATCTGGCATGGATCTCAAGCTATGAAATTTTATATCCTTAGGCCAGGCAAGCACTGTGCCTACGATTCTTCATTTAATGAAATAAATAAAGCAAGAAAAGGAAAAATAAAACCACCTTCGGAGGCGGGTTTCTACACCCACAGTTAAAGGAAATTACACTTTTCTTTCTTCTTGACTACATAGGTTTTATTTCTTGCGTCGCATCATGAGGATGGCATTTTTGTTGTCGTGATAACTTGCTACATAACACTTTTGACATCGGAGGGTTGCTGCACACATCAAAATGCAGAAAACAAAACACAGATTAAACCAGGAATAGTTTATAGGTAGCAAAAGCAAAATAGAAGTTATTTTAACAATACAGTGAGAAGGATATCCTTTTGAGCCTTGTTCATTTATAAATGCGCCCCTTTGCTCAGTGAATATTCACAAGAAATGCATGCTTCTTCAACGTTCTGTTGAAGTATTCTCACGGTGTACGAAAATAGTATTCCCTTTCTACAATCACAGCGGTTGCAGTTAAGAACGTAACAGGTCGCGGGACCGAATCCCGGTTGCATTATCGAGGTAGGTGCATATGCTGTAGGCCCGTGTGCTCAGGTTGGGTGCACGTTAAAGAACGCCAGATAGTCGAAATGTCCGCAGGCCTCCACTGAATCGTCTCTCAGAACCATATTGCGATTTCGGGACGTTAAGCCCCACATATTACTATTGTTATGATAAGAACGAAGATTCACACGCCCGATAAAGCAATGTTACTATTATTTACCTTCGAATACACCGATGGCGTGAAATCCTCCCGGAAGATAGCTTGAAGCCACGCTTTTTTCCGCGCGACATCCCTTGGAAATGAGTACAGGCGCACTTTTGGTCCATTGTTATAGTTACCGCGGCAACCAGGAACACAACAACGGCCCATGTTGCACGAACTCTATGTCGTTTCGATGCTATGCGCTAAACGTCACCATAACACATGTACGCCGAAAACAAAACAAAAAAAAAACCTTCACACGGTCACGCAGGACACCGAATTGAGCGAGAACAAACGGCTCGAAGAACACAAATTGACAAATGGTGCAGCAACTTTCATAACTTGGCGCACACTACCTGAGCAAGCACGCCGAGCGCACACTGACATGCCCAGCTGGCGGCGGCGGTCTACAGAGCTGCCATAGAACACCTATACCCAACACGCTCAGCTGCGACGTAACGACGCTAATATCCAAAAAAAACTCTTCCTAGGTACCTCTTTGGTACGGACACAGAACGCCTGGTACGTTCGAATACTGCCGCATGCGCAGAGCGAGAACACTCGTTGGCAACATTGTGGGCATTGTCTAGATTTGAAGGCACATGTTTGAAGGCACGGAGGAAGGAAAAGGTAAGGAGAGGCCCTGACGTCACTCGTTGTGAAGCCGCGATGAAGCCGGAAGTCGGCCATATTGAGTAGGCAAATTCTCCTCTCTTGTTTACATATGAATGCGAAGCAGAAGGCGCGACTCCCTCTCCGGCTCGGAAAGCACGTGGGCTGCGCAGCGCGTGTGTCGTGACGCTCCGAAACTAATGGAACTGAGCTCATCACTCAGAGCCAGCGAGACAGCTTCAACGAAATCGCTTCGTCCGAGTAATAACAAAGAGTAACAGCTCGCTGACAACGAAGCAACTACGAGAGAACGCGCGCTAGATGCACTGACAACGGCGAGTGCTTTCACGTCATTAATTCAGCAACTGTACAGACAACACGATCGGTCGTGCGCCTTCTACGGTTGCATTCCGCCACGCGGGAGGCACACATTCCGCCGCCAGCCGCGGCCGCTCACTGCTAGACCAGCTTCACTGCGCAACACGTAACCATAACAACGCCGCCATTGTGCCTACAGAATATGGCTGCCATGATGTCATTTCCGCCACACTTTTTACGCCCTGCGCCGGCTGGGCATGCCCTCTCCTTACCTTTTTCCTTCCTCCGTGTTTGAAGGCATGGCCCCAGAACACCTACATGCACGGAGGAAGGAAAGGTGCCTACATGGCTCCACCACAGAACACCTCCACGGAGGAAGGGTATGCCGTGATGTCACGTGACAGAGCAGTACAGTAATGTCACGTGAGTGGGTGCTACGAAGGCGAGCGGTCTCACGCGGCAGCCGGTCGCAACACAAGGCAGGAGGCATGGCTTCCGAGATTGCGAGCTGGCAGGAGGCTCCCATTTGAAAAGAGAGCGACGTTCCAGGCATAGTATTTCTAGGAGGCGTTGACTAGAAGGTAGTTATACAAACAGGTAGGTGTTCGGTGGTTATGCCTCAGAACACCTACATGGTTGTACTCAGAGTACTCAATGACTGAATAACTCTGGGTTGTACTTAGCTGGCCCAGAGTAAGGTCCCTAGATTTTTCTCTTTTACGAAGAACAGAGAAACATCTAAGGACTTAAGTCTAGCGCAGGTTACTATGCTGAGGAGGTCGTGCGCTGGTGGAGGTCTAGTTAAAGTGAGCTTAACTAAAGTTAGTCTAGTTTGGCATTCCCTCAGCTTCCCTGTGAATGGGCGTGCGATGTTTGGCTGGTGGTTAGCATAAACCACTCGCTCGAGACTCGGGGTAGAGTGGCTAGAATGGATTTATTCTAGCCACCCTACTCGGGGAGTTTGCTACAGCTGAATCAGTATAGACTACCTTTCCTTCCTCCGTGATATAGACGGTTAATCATGCCTCTAGTAAGATGGCGGCCGCTTTACCCTAGAGAGTGCCTGGTTTCTTTTTACCGGAATACTGTACTGAAGTGGGACGAGCGTAAAAAAGGCATTTACGGACGCATCTTTTTTTCGTAAGTTTTAACTCTTTCTTTTTGTCTTTTTTATCATTATTTTTAGCCTAGAGTTTACGTATCATCATCATCATTGCCGTAGAGTGCTGCTAGTTTTTAGGGGCGTTGCCCTAGAAACGCTGCTTCTGCGATTGACGCTGAATCTGAAACTACCACCTCCGAAGGAACAAGAACGTGCCTTCGTGAGCGAGCCAATACATGGCCAATGAAGCTGTACGTACGCGCGCAACGGCTGCTCGGCAGCGCAGGCCCCGGCTGGGCTAGAGGAGCGGCTCCTCTAGCGCGGCCGTACGCAGGGGTACCGAGGTCAATGGGCCAACTAAGCCTAGCCCACGGTGTTAAATAAAAGCACAGAGCATCTATAAACAGATAAAAGGTGCTGCTGACACACGTCGAAACAGTGTTCGCCAAACGACCTTGAGCCACAAGTAGATTAAGCCGCATGAGTTTAGATGGCGCTACTGTATGAAGTGGTGATCTAGTAACGTTAGTGGTGACTCTCTCTGCGTTGAGTGTCGCGCGCAAAGGAAGATCTTTCTGAAAGTTTTGTGCGCATGGCATTCGGCGATTTAAAAAACGCGTTGGCTGTGAGCCCTGTCAGTGCATTTGTTTTGCCGATTCGCGCTTTGTTATACTGAGTGCACGTATACCTCCACGCTACATATGACGTCGAGTACGCGTTAGCGGCCTTGCCGCTGGCTGCGCGCCTCGAAATGGGGAAGTGGTGTTTTGTTCCGAATTGCAAGTCGCGGAACAAGAATTGTACGGAGCGTGTGTCGCATTTCAAGGCTCCGCGTCAACCAGAGCGCTTAGATGAGTGGCGACGCGCAATTCCGAGGACAGACAGAGTCTTGGAGTCTACTGATCATGTGTGCTCGATGCATTTCCCGGAAGGAGCGATCTCTGCAACGTACCATGCAGAGTACAAGGGGCACGTCCTGTTGCACACCCGAAAGAAACCTACGCTCTCTTCGGATGCTGTGCCTAGCATTTTTCCGGATTGCCCAGAATACCCTACCGTGCAGCAAAAAACAAAGAAACCTCGGGGAAAACGGCAAGCTCTTCTGCTGACTTCTCAAAAGCGACGGAAGCCAAGAGGCTCAACCGCTGCTGAAGTGCCTAATCCGACCACTGAAAGTACGCCATATTTACTGCGGGTGGAGACAGCGGCTCCGTGGGAAGGCGATGCTGAATCAACAGGCACGCCACGCAAAAGGCCGCGCTTCAACTTCGGGCCTTGTCCGCGTGTAGAAGAGGATGCTTTTGAGCATGATACTGGTTGTCTGAGCCCATGTGCTACCAGCTCAGTCCATGACCAAGCCGGAAAGGTAATATCTTGTTCTAAATTCAGATGCCACTTTTTGAGCTGCCTCAACATTGAAAGTTGTAGAATAACCAGTAAACATACATCATTGTACATGCTATGTCTGTGATGAAGCTGCATTTTTTTAATAATCAGTTTGCCATACTTGATGTCATCAGGCAAGATTTTCTCGTCTTTGGATGCCTTGATAGCGTTTCATCAACACTGCTCGGCGCACTTTGCAACATTGCAGGCGTACATCTGACCACGGTACTTCTGACACAACACCATTTATTAAGGCACAAAGACAATAAGTTATGCCTCAAGAAATGCGAGTTCTCATCGTCGGTGTTCGCGTCGGCGACGTTAGAGATGAGAGATGCAAAAAATTATCAGCACAACATGACAGGACACAAAGCCAAAATTTGTAGCGTCATTATGATGTAACATCAGATGATATCCTATCACATTGTGCTTTGCATATTAACTAGATTCATAATGGTTTATTCACATGACAGGTGTGATGGCACATGAATCGGTCACGTGACATGTAACACAATTCGGATCTCTCGATCTCCAGCTAGCATTCACACGAAAGGAGAGAATTCATGCTACAAGCGAGGATTTTGGCATTGCTCCCCGAGGATTCCAGCTGCGATTTGGGCTTCCATCGTTTCACGAAGCACTCAGAGCGGACCGAGTGAAGACGCGAGAACGGTCGACGTATGGTGGCATAGTATGCCATCTCCATGGTCAAATCAAAATTTGGTCTGTCGTCGTCTGATTACAGCTTAAAGCACAACAAGGGGTTAGCAAAAAGAAAGGAGAGTGATGAGGGAGGAGACGAAGTGGGGAGAGGGCAGACCACAGCATGATAATGTACAGTATAGCATAGCAAAGGGTGGAAAAGAAAACTGAAGCGAGAACAGCTGACTAATAATGACATAATACACAATCCGGAGGCTCAAATCGCGATTTTGTTCATTTGGGAATACAGCTTTAAGAGGTTCAACCATAGCAGTGCAACTCCTCTCCTTGGGGCGACGTCACATTGCTGGTATGGTCAGTGTGCTGTCTTTCCAGCAAACCAATGGAATAGCGGTGGCCGCTTTTGTGATGATGCCACCAATAGGGTGCCATGATCGCATGGTGTACTCAATGTGCATAATTTAAATTTGCAATGCGGACCTATCTGCAGTTTTTTAGTAATAGTCACATCACACGATTGAAACTGAAAGTATCTGCAAGATTAAAACTTCTTTCATAAGTGGTTCTTAAAGGCAAAAAGAAGAGAAAAGTGAGCCCTGTAACTGGCTGCGTCAGAGTGCGACACTTCAACAGTAGCTAACAAGGGATGGGGGTAAGGAGGGATTAAAAGGATAGAATTAAAAGGTATATATAGAGAGAGGAAGGAGAAAGCGAGGCGCAAAAACAGCGAGCGACGGAAGTAAAGAGGAGATAGGAAAGATGGACACGGTTGCAGGAGTCCGAGGACAGGGCACCACTCGACGAGAGTTCTTGTTGGCGGCAGGAGATGGCGTAGGGCGAGCCCAGTCGGCCAGCGCTGTGCTGTCGTCGTAGATCGCGGGGGCACAACCGGTCGGCACGAAATCCAGGGAGTGAGCACCAAGATTAAAACACATCTAACATGTATAGATGCATATAATGAGATAAACAGTTCCACTTGCAATGTACCCACCACGCCATAAGCGTCCTAATTTTTTTGTGATAGGGAGACATTCACTTTGCAGTCTTTCATCATTCTTCAAAGAAGCATGGTTCCCGCTACATACTTGCAAGGAATTTTACGCAATTTTTTTGCTGTGGCTGACAAAGATGAAGGATTATGCCTGAAGTAGGATTGTATACAGTGTCCCCTACCAAACACCACTCCCACAGGAAAAAGGACAATTAGAGGCAATCCTTAGAAAAGCCTACAAATGCGCCCTTGGTCTACGTGTCAGCACCTTGACAGAGAAATTCCTTAAACTCGGGATAAACAACACCGTGCAAGAACACGTCGAGGCGCATCTTCTTGTGTAGAAAATGAGACTACTACTGACTACTACGGGCAGGTACACGCTGCAGACATTGGCCATGAGGGATTCTTGCAGAGAAATCAATAACACAGCGAGCATACCAAAGGACATTCGCCAGATCATTAAAGTCAGCCCAATACCTCGAAACATGCATCCAAAAATTCATAAGGCTCGAAGAAAAGCCAGATCAGAAGCACAAAAAAAAATTTCAAGGCAAGAACCGATGTATTGTACGTTGACGCGACCACATACAAAGAACACTCTGGAACAGTTGTAAGCGTTGTTAATCACCAACTTAGGGAAGTCAACAGCGCTTCGATCAGAAGCAACAACATCCTCGAGGCTGAGAAAGTAGCGATCGCGCTCGCCATCACGCACCAGAGCGAAGAATCTACTACAGAATTATTTACTGACTCGCAAGAAGCGTGTAGACAGAACAGCAGTAGACGCATATCCAGTGCTGCCATCCGCATACTCAAGGGAAGAAAAATCAACTTCTCGAGCTGCTCCATTATTTGGACACCAGGCCATGAAACTGACAAGGAACCAGCGTGCCGACACCATTGCTCGAGAATACGCCAACCGGGAGGCGCACAACGACGAGGAGCCAGTCACAGTTACTAGACGCTATGGAGCAATTTTAGGGACACCAGAGAGCCCTGAGGAGGATATACCCCCTCCCCACAAAGACCTCAGCAGCGAGCAGTCGCTTGCCTGGAGACAGCTGCAGACTAATACGTACCACAATCTCAGTCTTCTGAGTAAAATCTATCCGGGAATATACGCCAAGAAATGTCAGCTATGCAAAGAACACCCCACACTTTACCACATGACATGGGCCTGCCAACACATACAGGTAGTGCCAAGAAACTGTACACCAACACCGGAGCAGTGGGAGGCTGCGCTGTCCTGCTCTAAGCCTGAAGAACAGCTCAAGCTGATCAACAGAGCTTGCAAGATGGCAACGGCCACAGTCCAGGGCCCCACCTTCACTGGAAAAAATATTTGTAATAAAGTTTTGCATTCATTCATTAGCAATATTTTATGTTGTATTGTGAAGCATGTATAGAGGACATGTGTGTTTGTAAAGCGTGAAAGTTACTTTCACTGCATTTCCAAGCAGAGGAAGTTATTTTCACTGTATTCACAAGCAGACACGTGGCTGTGTGGTAGAAAATCTGCTTTCCACACAAACGACCTGGGTTCCATCCCCACTCTGACCCAAATGATTTATTATTTATTTTATTTGCATTGTTCTAGATTTCTTTCGGCCATGCATAAGATTATTTTTTGCTCACAACTAACGATGCCAACACCTACGCCGACATTTCTATGAAATGAGCTCTTTTAACGCTACAGCATCAAAACATTCAAGCAGGAAGAAGAACGAATAAAGAACAATCGTCGTCATTACAGCCAAAAGTTCTGGTCATATATCCGGAACATGGGAACGCCGAAATGCCCGAACTCAGACTGTTTCTCTCCAAATGGGCAGTGGCAACTGTACATGTAAAGGAAAACATTGAACAATACATGGCAACATTTTAGAACTATACAAGCAAACTATGAGTTACTGACGCACCAACCCACAAATAACGCAAGAAAAAAGCAAGCTACACATTGGTAAAAAACTAAAACTAACTCGGGAAATCTGAAAAGGAGAATTAAAACGACGCTTCGGTGGCATGAAAAAGTCAGAAAGCACCTGGCCTTGATGACCGTTCCAGAAGAATTTCTAAAGAATTTATGCAACAACCGAAGGCACTTTATGCAGGCTGCGACAGCAATATATGAACTGCATGGCCACTGAATGCCGAAAAGTGAGCTTAAAAGCTGGCCTAAAACAGGGATGTCCATCTATCACCAACCCTATTTAATAGCAGACCAATAGAAGTCTTCACGTAAATCTCATGATTGGCATTGGCTGATGACACTGCACTTCTGGCTGAATCTGCAGCAGACCTACAAGACCTCCTAGATATCTGCTCTGAAATAGTGATCAAAGACCACCATAAGTTCAACGCTAAAAAGACTCAACGGATAGGCTTGAACACAGACTTTGATGCAGGAACCTGCACCCTGCAAGAAAACCATATAAAAACACAGCAACTTACAGATACCTTTGCATTGAACGCAAAAAAAATGACTATTTGCGAAAACAAGCCGACCTAGTTATAAAAAAATCAAACCGTCTAGAAGGCAGAGTATGGCATCTCGCACAACATCATACAACCCTTACTCGGTGGGTCGCACGCTGTCGAAAATGCTCACCTTCCCGTACGAAAACTTATACAATTGATGCACTCGCATATCTTACCGAAAAACAATTGATGAAGTGCCTGAGAGGCAGCTTCTGCACATCAAATGCCGCCATTACAGGCGAACTGAAACTACAGCAGCCGAATGTGACTACATCTAAGGTACAAGGGCATGAAGACACTTTGGATGCAACAGCTTGCATCATTGGAATCAAAATTTGGCCCAAACACAAAGTTACAATTAACCCAAAAAGAAAGCGAATCGAGGCAGGAAGTGAGCCAATGTACCACCCCAATAAGCACAGACATCTCGCATAAGGCAAGCACAAAGAAGCGCAGCCTATCGCATTTTGCAGCCCACAGACTCCGTGCACCGCACTACAGAGAAGACAAGGCAAGCGCGCTGCTCTTCCAGGCACGCACGGGATCTCTGGTGATCCACAAACGCGCGAACTTTTCGACACGGACCCTTCGTGGCAACAGTTGCTAGAATAAACTCGTGCCGCCTGTGTGGAACAGCTGGAAACGATCGCCCACGTTCAACAGGCTTGCCCCCCGCCTGCAGCGATGAAGTCCCGCACTTCGCCACGGTCTGGCGGAACTTTAGGGCTTGTCGGGCCAAGCGGAGGACTTCAACTGCACTGACACGGAGTTTCCTTCCTCTGTGTGCACTGACAACGGCTCAGCAGAGGGGCCAACAGATGCTTTCAAAGCCAGCTAGCGACTACATATTGTAGCGCTCTTAGGCGCCGTCAAGGGCACAGCCGCGGCTGAAAAACGTCTTCGTTAAATGCGAATTCATTTACACCGCAGGCAGCGTCATAAAATTTCGTGTCTAGCTCGCGTCGTAGTGCTCCTATCCGATTCCGTGCTTCTATCAGTAACGGACGACGCAACCGCCAGCAGCAAGTGATGCCGACAGTGGCGCCACCTTTTCCAGTGGTGGTCGTCGCGGATTAAAAAGTAACCAAACCAACCCAACAATCAGCGCAACTGGTAGGTGCTCTGTGGCGCTGTCTCTACGATGCTGACAACGGCACGATGAGCTCGCGATGCAAGCGTTGTTGTGGTGTTGTGCCCTGATACAGTTTTGCGCTGTGCTTTTAATCCTTCTGAAGTCTGAAGAAACGTTTCCAAGTGTCGGACAACGAAGAACAGGCGGATTTGCGGGGATCACCTGTATCTGAGGTACCCTTTTTCTGCGTCGATTACGCTAAGCGAGTGAAGTTAATTCTTCCGAAAGAGGAAACAAGCGAACCTCGCGAAAGCACGATCCTCCGTAGAAGCACGTGAAAAGAACCGCGTCCGCTATCGCGCCTGCTACCTTCCGTAGCATTTCTGTGGTTCTTAAAAATGTTTATTAAGCTCGTACGAGTGCGCTTCGAATGTACGCCCGAGCGGCTCACAGTGAACGTTTGAATGAACCTTTCGTTTTTCTTGGTCGTAGCGCGATCGTAAACTACCGAATTCGAAAAGTAGAAGCTCCCATTCCGGCGTTGAAGTTTTCTGGTGGGAAGTGAGAAAGGTCCTAGAAAACTTGCGGATTAGGTCGATATCATGTTCTATAGTTAAATTGAATATGTATCCGTGTGGCAATAAACGTTGTTAGCAGGAGCGGTAATCAGAATTTATTTCGGGAGGGGGAAGGGGTGCGCACCTCGCACATTTATGTGTGGTCATCGGCAGTTCTTGTCGCTGACAGACGTGCTTCATAACAGATAATTTGCTATATCCGCACATTGTAGGAATCTATTTAATGCGAAAATCAGTCTGCTAGTGGCTGTTTAGCGCGACCTTTCGATTTGAGCCAAGCCTTATGCAATGGTAACCACGTCATTGTATAAATTGAGCAGTTGTGTGCCAATTGTGGGCCTACAAGGCATGCTGGCTACAGCTGCAATGCAAGAAGTAGCCCATGATCCTGCGTGACACCAACACTCGCGTTACACGGAGACTTTTTTGTCGCAGTGAAGTGCACATTACAGGGCAATGATGTGCATATCATGAGTGGTGGTCTTGGCATATTCGAGCAACACTTCACTATAGTTTGCGTGATCATAAGTATACACATATGAGGAGTTCACTATATTGCGAAAGCAAATAGCTAAAACTGCACAGACAGTAGCAGTTTGTAGCACTGGTATATCTATGTGGTAGGATACTTGAGTACCCTGCAGAATGACTGAAATCGATTCCTGCTCGAGTCGAGATTTTCATTCTGTACTTTTAGCAGCTGGCTCGCCAGTTTCTTAACCTGAGGTGAAGTCCCTCTGCCGTAATCTTGGCTCCAGAGGCGACCCCTAGTGGTGCAGCTGGGTAATAGTTCATAGATCATCAGCTAGATGGTGCGCCACGATGGCACACATCTGCTCTCTTCCGATTCCACCCACTCTACTGCACACTTGATGCATGCGGTAGTTAGCGCAGCCGCTTGTGAATGCCTTGGAGGCGATACAAGCGACAACTGGAGCTCGTAGGGCAGCAGCAGTGCAAGCCCGCGAGTCTGAAGACGGACGCCAACGTCGTGCGGACCCCGAGAAGAAGGTCACGAAGTGGAACAGCTACATAAACGGCGGCAATAAAACCTCGAAGCTGAGCGGGCGCGGGAAGCGGTGGTCGAGCACCGAAAGCGGTTGCAAGGCTTAGCTGGCACCGCTGGCGTGCACTTCAAGCGCAAGTTCTTCGATCGATCGTTCGGCCTTAGCTGCAAGGTATGCGAGTGCTTGTGGTTCAATAATAATCTCACCATCTTGTAAATAAATAGAATATGCTTTTTATATGTATATATAAAGTGTGTCAAGTCTTTTAAGATGGTAGAAGACTTGTACGAAAAGGTCACAGGTTTTTCCAATCTTCCCCGAGCTAGCTCCTCAATCATCATTCATTTAAGGAATATATCGCAATTTTTTTTTGATGTTTCACTCATCAACAATGCCGCTAATGCTAACATCGCATTTCCTGCACGATGGCCTCCTTCACTCTGTCCCGTTGAGTTTCTGAAGTCTAGGTTGATGTATACTGTGAATCACCTGTAGTGCATAACTGCATACCATGCACCGCAGTATGCAAGTACGGGACACGCTACTTGTCGAAAGGATTTCATGTCTATCCCATGGTGGTATATCCCCTTCAGTGGAGGTGTGTACCATTGTACACATCGACTAAGCAGGCACGCCATGCTCGGCATGTTTCTTCATATGGCATGAAATGCAGTCTTCTTGAGGTGACAAGTAGCGTTTGTTTAACTTCATTGTGCTGTGTATTGCTGCAGAGGATCACTTTGTTAAATACACTACCATGTGCGATGATTATTTGACGTGCCACGATCTAGGAACATCAACACGAGTTTTTGCTCAGAACAAATACAACCAAAAAACTAACTCAGTATGCATTTTGGGTCTGCACATCAAGTGTCATGCAAAGATCGAGGCTAAGTGATGTTAAAATAAGTTGATATTGAATGGTATACTATTTAACATTCATTACTGAAGCTCATGCAAATTTGACGCATTTGCAGACAGTGCGTCATAATTCGCACCTGAAGGGCATATACCAAGCTAAGGCGACAAACATGAAAGTGTCTAGGTGTAGGCGGTTAGATGAGTAGATGGATGTTAGGTGACATATATGTGCACACAAGGAGGGCTAGGTTACGCGAAAACTTTGTGACCCTGCCTCCTACTGTATTTTGATTTTGTGTGTTTTCTAACTTGACAAGCGTCTCTTCATGTTAAGAATGGTACTTTCAGTATTGTTAAACTGCAAATTGCTTATGCGAGAAAAATAATTTTTTTTTTCTTTAGCATCCCTTTCATACTATGGTTGCAGCAACTGCATTTAATTGAAAGTTATGTTACAGGTCGCCTGTGTTGATCCCGTAGGTTCCTCGGAGCAGGCCTTGCTCTTGTGAGACATTCTTGGAGAAAAGACAGAACACTTCACACCTGATCAAAGCCATTGTGAGGTACAGTCAATCTTTCAATTCGTGCTAGTGTATAAAAGGAACAGCTATCCACCTACCAGATAATAACTTGGACTTGGACAGCCTGTGCAAAGATTAGACTACCTCGGTGTAAAACAGTTGTGCTGACAAAATTGGAGTCGTATGCTTAAGCTTGTAAATCGAGATCACGCACTTGTAGCTTGCGCCAAAACACGAGACTGGCTCGTAGAAACTTGTTCTTGAGAGCTTTCTTTTTTTTATGTATGGCTTTTTTTTCTGTATTGCACAATGGAGAATTAGCATTATCTACGAGTAGGTATCAGAGTTGTAGCCTTTCAAACACTGCACAATGAAAGCAGATTATTATTTTGTTTCATTTGAATCTCTGGAACTTGTTGTTGCAGTTTAATACATTGCTGCACACTTGGTTATGTTCCCCGATTCCAGGTTGCAGTTCCACCTGCCATCACGCGACGCAGTGCTGCTACCGTCCACAAGCAGACAACGTTGTGTGAGACGGGCCTGCCTAAATCGATACTGGCTGAGCTACTCACTAGCGAGGTCCCCACGAGGATGCAAACCAACGACTTGGGAGACTTTCATGAGTCCTCCTCAGCCCCAAAACGCCAATGGAAAGCAAAGGTATGCTCTTACAACGCATTTCGATGCCATGATTGTCAAATTGTCTCATATAACTGCTTCAGGCATTAGGAAGGCCTTCCAGTTGACAGTCCGTTGACTAAATGGGTCGTGCTACTACACGAGCACTTTTGAAGAAGGCTGTCAAGTCAATTGGCTATCTACTCATTGGAACACTTTACGATTCTATTGAAACTTCAATGGCTATGAAGCAACGCAAGCGGAAACAGTGCGAACATGCTGTTTCGTTCACAGTGTGTGGGACTTAAATTGAAAGGGATATGATCATACCTGTATACTCTAGAAACGGTATATGTACCAGATAATAATTATTTAATAAAGTATTTTCGCCTCTGGAAATGTGCCGTCTGCACACACATTTAACAATGATGTGCTTGTGTTTTTGAGAGTATGTGCAGTGGTGTCAAACAGTTGAAACATTGCCACAGCTTTGCTACTAACAGCTTAAGAGCTAAACATATATGCATAACAACAGATAAAAAGATTATTATGAAATGTCCAGGCGTGCAACAGCCAAGCCAAATGTGCCAATCTGATACAGTTCCCTATTTTTGCGCCGCGCTCCATCAAAACCACAAAAAAATTGCTGAATTTGCGCCACTCTGTACCAAAATGTCCGACCAGCCTCAAAATTTTCTTAGTTGCGCTAACTTGAGCTGAGAAATGAAGGCCACGTCGGCCACCTGCAGTTTGCGTCATCAATCAAAATTCAAACGCTGCAGACCCCAACCCTAAACCACGGTGTAAGATGTATATTCATAAGATCAGGACACTCGCGAAACGATGTCATCATAATAAGCAACAATGCCGTGTGTCTGTCGGTCCGCTGACCATAGCGGATATAGATTGTCGGGACTACACAACTGTAAAATCCAAAAAACGCATTGCTGTAGCCAACAATGCTTCACGAGAAACAGCAAAAGCGTCTATGCCATTTTTGGAACTTAAGCTGGTAGCGTGTACCGCATTTCCCGCACTGCGAACAAACTCGACGTGCTGCGAACAAACTCGACGTGCTGCGAACATCGGCGCTGCTAAGTTGGTCGCCATAGAAACAGCACAAAAAATATTTTTCTGTCTTGAAGTTGCATCGTCTCCATGCTAGATAACCGCGGCTGCGTTGCATTGCTGCGGCGGCATTGCATTGTTAAGAGGTGCCCAAGAACGTACCTCAGAGAATTAAAGGTACACTAAAGGGAAATAGCTTTTGATGCAAGAATGAAAGGACAATGCTCAAGAATGTATTAAACGTCAATATTATACGCAGTAGCCTCGTAATTGAAGTAATGTATGACATGGTTTGTGCCACCAACGGGACATTATCGTACACAAGCCCGATGATGTAGCAAGACCTATAAGTACAATTAATCCCGAGTGCTATATTGTCACGAGGTCCTGACGTGAACGGAGAAAACAGACTCCACATTGAAGAAGAAACTATTTATTCAGGCCGAACTTGTGGACCACGCAAAAGGAAAGTAAGACGCTAGCTCTGATAGCGGCGAACAGAGCGTCGTCCGTCGATCAACTGACAAGCGGCGAAGCGTGTCGGCATTTATACACTTGCCAGCGAACATTGTAGCATTATCGTTAGTGGCGATGTAGGTTCCAGAGTAATCTGAAAGGTTCACGAAGTGGGCGTAACCTTAAAAAAATGATCTATTACAGCAGCAAAGCTTCTCTAACACCGTAGGCACGGTTCGCACTGAACATAGTGTAATGGGGCAATAACAAAACTTGAGGGAAGGAACGTGGCAATATCTACGGTTAACAAAATGAGATTTCATTGCATCATAGGTAGAATTACAGAGATAATTTCGCATTTCAGTGCGATTGATGCAAATAATATTGAGGTTACTCTTGGGAACCATGCAAGTTCAATTTTCGCTGAGGATTCGGGCAGTCCTGGCCTTGCGAATTGCTAGGGCCAGAATGCAATGTCAGGCTGCTGTTCTCAGAGGTAGGAACGCAGTTAAGAAATAAGCCCCCACGAGGTTTCTGGAATGCTACTTTAACAATCCACATTGACTTAATATTTGCACAATTCCAAGAAGACACACACAAAAGAAATTGTGGGTGATGGCGTCACCTTGAAATTCTCATGCCAAATGTCGTCGATATTGACAGCGTCTACGAGGCCTTGTGTTGTCTTCAACCAGTGAAAGTAAAATCTGTCCTCTGAGACGGCCATAGGACTTAACAAGTCAAGTTTCAGGAAATTTCATTGAGCCAGCGTAGCCAAAATACGAAAGATAAGTTTTGAAATTCACAATGTTATGTGCAGAGATTTCCACTAGAAATTTTAAAATGAAACTTTGGCCTTAATTTGCTCCTCTGTTTATTAATAAAGTTATGATAGTGAAATCAACAGCATTACAATTCATCAATACAAACCAGTTCATGATTCTATTTAGCGACTCTTTAAGTAAATGCAACTCAACTTCTTTTGTGTCTGCATGCCACCTGAGGGTGTAAGTTTTTACCCATATTCACAGCATAGTTTACAAAACTGTTTCATCTTATTTTGCCAGGTGTCTTCAGTGCAGGTGAATTCGAGTGGAGCCAGCCGTGCAATGCAGGGACAAGCAAAAGTCAGTGATTCCTGCCAAATTAAGATGGAAGCTGGCACACTACACAACGTAAAGAGAGAGAACACTTTCTCCGCAAACGTGTGTTTAGTGCTTAGTCCATATGGCTGCAACATTTGCTCACGCAGTTTTGAGGAGGCAGACGCCTTATTCTCACACGTCATGACCTGCCCATCGCCGGAGCCACTCCGGTGTGCCCTGTGTCCGGAGTTGTGTGCGGACTGGGGCACTGCGCGGAACCACGTCGTCTCTCACATCCAGAAGCGCACACCAAAGTGTCCGATGTGCGGCTACGCTTTCGGCAAGCAGTGGACGGTCGAGCGTCACGTTCAAATGCGCCACCTGCCCATTCGGCCGTTCGTGTGCAACTGCTGCGGGAACACATTCAGCGGAAAGTCTGACGTCTACAAGCACAGCCTTCAGTGCCGTGCAAAGTCGCAAGAGATCGAGCAGTACCTGGCATCTCGCAAGAAGTCCGACACGCGGGTTCATGGTCCTGTGCCCAATACGGTGTACAAGTGCTCTGTTTGCGCACGGGCATTTTTGGACCGTTTGGTGATGGCGAGACATATGCGTGTTCACGTGAACCAAGTGCAACAGAGTCGAGCGGACGAGGTAAGTGCATCTAACCTCAGTTCATTACCTTAGTGAGGCCCCACAACACTTTCTGAGTGAGCATGGTCAGAAAATGCTACGCCATTTGATAGTCAAGGCTCTTTGAGAACATCTGAACCAAACATTGTCACAGCATGTGGCCCGAATTTCGAATTAACTTTCAGGGTCAGCTAAAGATCACCCACTCTCTTCTCAACGAATCGTGCCTTAAACAGAGAAAGTCCACTCTGCCATTGGCTGGTTTCAGTACCGTAAGCTGCATAGTTAGTGCAGCCTGCCACAAGATGCCACCACATGTCCGCATGCCCACTCGTGGTCACGCTATAGGTAACGCACGCCTTTGAAGAAATGAAAGAGCGCTCAAGGTCATGATGTGTGCTGACGCATGGGCGTAGCTTTTTGCCCATTGTGGTCCCCCTTGCGTAGCTTGCAGTGTGCTCATTGGTAAAAAAGGAGTGACAAAGCACTTGAAGCACATGGCGAATCCCTGTTTAATGAAGCCACGCAGTGGCTTCATTAAACAACGGCTGCAACACTTCTCTTAGATACGTGCTGCAGGGCCCCATTAAAGAGACACTAAAGAGGAAAGATATTTTTCCCCAATCAGGAAATTGCAATTTTGCAAAACAATAGGCACAACTCTCGCCATAAGTGGACACTTGGTAAGAAGCAAGTGAAAAAATACGCAAAAGTAAAATACAGGCACCTTGAAGGGCCAGTAAGCTGGCACGGACCCCCCCCCCCCCCCCCTCTTTTTTTACACCCTCCAAACAAGCTTACCAATTCGTACAGTAGACCGTGGGGATCTCATTTCCCAAATATTGCAGCGTTGCATGCCGCGAGCACCTTTCGTTTCGAAAAAGATTTGTCGCGTCTCTTCTGACCAAGCGCCCTCATACGCACAGTGACGCGAACTTGCCTCTGGGCAACTTGACGTACCACTGAGCTCGTCAATGAGTCCTTTTGCCCTACAAAAAAGCACCTTGGCTACATGGTAATGCAGTTTCAGCCGCGTAGTCTGGATTTTTATTTTCCTGTGCTGTCCTCTGCCATTTCGTAGAGCCCGAGACAACCGGTATTTCAAGATTGAGAGCCTTTGAAATAAAGAGGTGTTTTGCTACTTTATCGCAGGGTGCTCCTTGAACCACGCTGCCTCCTCCCGCACTGCTATAACAAGTGCTCATGTGGGGGGAAGCTCTGCTCAGTCGTGGGCTACATGCCGATAATGTGTCACTGTCGTCAAGTCATGTTGCTGTAGTGGGCGGAGTGATGACAAAGGGCCGAGCCTTCCCCTCCCTATGGCAGAGGAGAAAAGTGGTGAGGCGTGCAAGTTCGAAACCAGCTGCAACGGGTGTTCTAACCACTGTAACTTTCTTATTATACTACGAACTTGCAAACTTCTTGGGGCAGCATGTTCACATAGCAAAGCTGCGCACATTTCTATTCCTAACAGTTTCCGGAGTTCGGTGTTGTTTACTGGCCCTCCAAAGTAGCTGCACCAGTTTTCAGCGACTTCATAGATTTGTCACTGTCTGCTAGAGAGTGCAAAATCGTCATCAGCCTGACCAATGCCCACTGCAGGACAAAAGCCTCTCCCATGTTCCGCCAGTCAACTTGTTATTGTGCTTGCTGCCGCCACTTTATACCCGCAAACTTCCTAATGGATACTACATCATCACTTGTCACTAAATTTTCTTTACATTGTAAAGAGAGGACCCAGACTTGTAACACGAGTTCATTACATAACAACCTCTATGGCTACGTGGAAGAAAGCATTGGAGAAATGCCTCTTGTAAACTCCTGTAGAGGGCATTGGGGGAGAGCACCCACATTGACAGGCTATTATTTGCGACATGCTAATGAAGCTTAGCCAGGTTTCTTCAAACTATTTCAGGGAGAAAAAGGGTCGGAATTAAACTATTTCTTTGACCAGGCTTTTCACACCCTTGAAATGGGTGGCCACCTCAGCCTAGTAGCCACGAACTTGAGGTGATAGCCTAGCCTTGTTGACCAGCTGTGCTGGTCTTTGGGCTTGTCAGCTGTGCCGCTATTGGTGAATGTGTAGATGTCTGGCATATTCTCTTTATATTACCAGACCATGTGGTAGATCGCATTTGGCAATTTGCAAAATTTTCGTCTTTTCCATGGGGGCCAGGATAGATTACGTGTAGCCGAGTGCCATGGAGTTCATTTGCGCACTTTAAGTCAATACAGTATGATGGATTCTTCTCTTGTCTAGTTTGCAATGTGGTACTGGGGCACATCCACCTGTTGTTGGAAAGTTCTAGGAGTAATGAAACGATTTGTATAAGGCACTCCACTGGCCTTCTTATGCATATCCCAAGTTTGCAGTGGCACCAGCTAAAGTAAGCATTGCTAGGTGTTTGACAATTGGTTGGCTTTGGAGAATTCTCTCCAGGTTGGTGAGTGGAATTGATCTCTTGGCAATACAAGTCGAAGGCCGTGGCAGTCCATGTTTAGTGTGCTCGAATAGCTGTTAAAAAAATCTTTAGGTGCATTTTGTTCTCGCTGATGCTATGTTGTATTGCAATTGCGATTCAGTTGTTAATACATTGCCAACTTCTTTTTTATTGCATCCTGTCTTTCCTTATGTCTTGGAGGTCAAGAAGGATCCCTTCGATTGCGGAAATCACAAGTCATTCGGCATTGGACCTCCGAAAGGTCAAGAATGGGGTGAAGGTTTATACACAATGCTTCATTAGAATACCGGTTGCTGACAAGACTACGGGCTGCAAGGTCTTCTCTAAAGCCATACAGGCCGACTTGAAGTCTTCCGCCGTCTCCAGTTGGACACAGTGTGATGATGTAGGAAGACTCTGAAGAGGCTTTTTGAACTTCCACCGTGAAATGTGTGTGCGTCTCCACATGTTCCCGTGCGATCGTGCATTGGTGCTGTCATCAAGTGAACCCTCCAAGGTCCGATTCCTTCATCCAACTTCCGTCCGCACTGGTTTGAAACTGGGGAACTCAAACTCCGGCAGAACAAATTTGCAGACTCATTCAGAGATGGCACATAATGCAAGGAGAGAATGTGAGTGTGAACCAGCCGTGAAAGAACTTGCAGAGGAGTGCTAAATCGCAAACTGTTGCGGCCGTGTCGTGTTACTTGAAGGTCAACATCGGGTCGCAAGGGTGCAAATTCGCATTTTCTAAGAAGAAATGGTGAGTAGATTGCATGGGCAAATTAACATGCCCGTGAAATACAGTTGAACCTCATTTAGCACACATTCATAGAGCAGATTATTGTTTAGAGTGAACTAAACACCAAGTTTGGTTGGCCACAGTTCATTTCGATGACATTTAGTGTTTGTATAACAAAACCGAAAACACAACCACCACTGCAACAGCAGCTATAAAGAAGAAATATTTGGTTTGCACTTGACTCAGAACTAGGAAGGTAGCAAAAAAAAAGTGGAATAATTATTACAAATAATTAGCTAAAATTTTTTATGAATGTGGTTGTGGCGCTAATGCTTCAATAAAAAAAATTGCACCATGTCTGGCTAAAAAAAGGAACCATGTGTAGATGCAAAGCAGCACGCACTATCACTTACACTGGTGGCGGTATTGTGCAGGAGAGAAACCTGGAGAGGCGCAAAGCACGCAGTGATGGACCAGAGTTTTCTACCGGAACATGCCAATCCCTGCTAATGAGCAATGAGAGCAAGAAGAGGTCGATAGGACACAGGGGCTCGCAGTCCATTTTTAGTTAACGCGCACGGTGTGAATTTTTATTGTTCAACAATGCACAGCAGAAATCTCCCACCGGAACTACTTTGGAGGTCAAGATTCATTGCCTATATATATATATATATATAAGGGGTGGCCAGTGGTCAGTTGCGCAGTACGAGCAGTCAGTTTTTTCAATCAAGAAACTCGCTAGCATAAGAGAGAAGGAGAGGGGACGATCATACACGCCTAGATGAGAGAGAGGGGGAGCGAGCGTAAGCTACGCTGCCTGCGTCAGCGTTTCGAGGTGAGTGCAGAGGAGGAGAGAGCGGGAGGAGTGTGCATGCTCATTAGGGTGGTCATGCCGCACACTGGATTGAGCTCGACGATAAGACATTTCGCATCTTGAATGTGGACACGTCTTTTTTCAATTGAATGTGAATGCAGGCCTGTTTTGTCAAATGAAGTTTGTTCTGGAGAGACATCACCTTACGTTTCGGTCTGTCTGGTTTTGAAAATTTTACAGGGATATGAGCAAGGATGTCGTCATTTATAGTGAGTTTGAAGTATAGAATTATAGATTTTTGTATGTAGCATTATTGTGTGAGCTGTATTAGCCAGTTTTTGAAAAGTTATATCCATTTGTACTGATACAATCGATATCAGATATGAATTGATTTGTGGTCCCCATACTTTTTCGATTTAACATGGTTCAACTCGGTACATGCGATTTGCCGCAACTGTAGAGTTATTAAGATAGGATCTGTTACAATCGATATCAGATATGATGGATTAATTGTGGTCCTCATACCTCTACCATATTATGTTTTGTTGCTTTTTCGTATTGTACAACCTGTATCAACCTCTCAGTAACGTGATGTTTAGTCTTTTTATAATGTTATTTATCTGTAGAGTGTTGATGGTATCTTTATTCCTACATAATGTTTGTTGCTTTTTATGTTGTATATACTACCTGTATTTTTTCCTGTTCTTTTCCCCCCTACAATAATGCCCAGTGGGGCGCTGTAGGTATCTGAATAAATAAATAAATAAATAACATGGTTCAGCTGTACAGTACATGCGATTTACCGCAACTGTAGAGTGGTTAAGATAGGAAAGCAAAAACGTGGTGATATCAGAACTGCCACGTGCGATTTACCGCAACTGTAGAGTGGTTAAGATAGGAAAGCAAAAACGTGGTGATATCAGAACTGCCGCGTGCGATTCGCACGTTATTTGCTTTAGATCACTGTCAACACAGCACTTTGTAAATGTACTGAAATGCATTGCATTCCAAATAAACCAAGGAGTCACAACAGTAGGCTTTGAGAAGTGACTGTTTTCACCAGGGCTACTCTTTTTAATCAGAGTTGAAGATTCAAGCCATAGCTGCAACCCTGCGGAGTGCGAGCACTGTACAATTTGTGGCAAAGTCAAAATAAACGTTGGTTATGCCAGGCTCAGTACGGAACCACCTTGAAGACTTGTATGCACTGCTTTTCAACCACATTGCAGTACCCTTTTAACCATCCCCGAGTGTGAACACCAATATTGTTGCCATCTACAACCTCGCTCTTAAAAAAATGCACTTAGCAAGTAGCCAAGTGGCTGCTCTGTCACCTGGCAGGTGTGAAGGCACCTCAGGGCACCGATAGCACTTGGGACATCGGAGCTGGCTCACCTACGGAGGATACTTTGTTGATGATCTTGATTGTGTGCACATGAGGGCTCCTTTTGCCTCGTTAAAACACACTTTCGGGTGCCTTGTCTGTGCACTTGGAACTGTTGTAATTTAACTAACATAATGGCATATTCCTCGAACGGCCGGAGGAATATGCCAGTCATTCCCCATCAACTGCCTCAACTGTGTAACATTCCTGCGCATGAACATAGGCAAGTTTAGTCTTTTGGCATCACGGCTGGGGGAGGTGAAAAGTGCTGGTGTGGCTTTGAGAAGACAAGTGCTCTTGTTCTACCCCACTCCCCTCATAAACAACCTCCATGTTGATTTCACAGTGATATTGCCATAAAAGAATGTCACACGTACCAGGTACTCCTTTGCGAAGCCCTCCATCTCAATGTAACTGCACACGTAAGTGTTTGCTTCATTCACATGCTGAAGCATAAGCACTAGAAATCGCAGATTTCAAAAAAAAAATAAAAATGAACCTCGAAAAATAGTACAGAGGTGGTTCAGTCAATGCAGAAAGGTATGGCGAGCATTTGCGAAGCACAGACTGCTGGGCGAGTTGTTAATTCATCTTAACCGAGTTGTGCACAAAAATTCAAGTACAAAAAGGAAGACACCTTACAGCACATACTAACTGAAAGTTTGTTAGAAAGAAAGAGGCGTAGGCTATGGAATGATGTACTGAAATGGGGCAGTGTGCCTGTCTGGTGCCTCAGGCGTGGCTATTTTTGCAGCCAGAGCACACTGTACTGCTGTATCGCCACCTGTGGAGTAATTCATGAGCTTTAGAGATGCAAAGCCTCCGAAATAGGTACCTGTAGTCAGGAGCTTTCTGTAGTTGCCTTGCTGGTCGTAATATGTATGAAAATGATTAGAAAAATGTATAAAAAAGTAAAGCAGTACGTGTTGAGCGTTATTTTTTTTTTTTTAACAATGTCACTGCTTTTTCTGGTTTATGCAGGTAAGCAATGGTCATGCAACTTGCTTGCTGATAACGTTAACCTTCAGGGCGTCCTCGTTTGTTTCGTCGCAAGAATTCAGATTAGTCTTACAGCTAGGAAGGCATACATATGCATGGAATGAACAGAAAAGGGCTTTTTTGTCTCTTTTACAGCTAAACAGTAAGCAAGCACATTATCAGGGTCCCTGTCCTGCAATAGGAATTGTGCAAGCTCATGTGATGCAGCAGCAGCTTGATTCATATTATTAATGCATATAAATATGTTGGATGTGTTTTAATCTTGCAGACATTTTTAGTTTCAATCGTGTGATGTGACTGTATATTTTACTAAAAAAAAACTGCAGAAAGTTTTGCCATGAAAATTTGAATTACGCACGATGGGCATACCGCTCGATGGTGGAGTCATCGCAAAAGCGACTACCACTGTCCCATTGGTTTGCTGCATGGTGGTTTGCTGCTGCTGCTGCATAGAGTTTCATGCAATAATGGTTTGCTGTGAAGACGGCACACTGCCCCGTTTCACTATACCATTTGTGAATGTACACATGACTGCTTAGAGTTTCTAAAATAGAATTTTAGGAAACTCTATGCGTTACTGCACACGACCATTACGGAGGGTTTGCAAAGTGAGAAATTTCGAGTTCTTGCACCGTTCGCCACAGGTGGCTCTACCGACATTATTCATCACTAACCGACAGACTAGGTGTGGAAGATGGAATCACTTATCTATTAAAGGATATCTATAAAAGTAGCAAAGTAGATATAAAATGGAAAAAACAGATATCCAAGCCTACAGAGATATAACAAGGGCTTAGGCAGGGCTGTCCTCTGTCACCCTTGTTATTCATGGTGCACCTGCAAGGATTAGAGGCCAAATTAGAGGGGAGTGGACTTGGCTTCAACCTCTCTTTAGTCAAACAAGGAAAACTCATTGATCAGGCACTACCAGCATTGATGTATGCAGATGATATAGTGCTTATGACCGACAACAAGGAAGGTCTGCAGAGTTTGATGGACATCTGCGGTAATGAGGGAGATGAATTAGATTTCAGATTCAGTAAGAAAAAATCAGCAGTCATGATTTTTCGAGATCGGGCAGCGGCTAACGCCGCCTAGCCGTAATACATAGTGAACCAAAAACTAGATGCACCTTTTTTTTTTCCCTTTAAATAGTGAAGTTAAGACTGGTACTTTGCAGTAAAGTGTGCAATTTTTACTCGTGCCTCGATTTTAGCCACCAATCAGATAACCTCCTTGTCAATTCTACCCACTTAAAGTATATTTTGCCCTCGCTGTCCCTAAACGCCAGTGCTTTGAAAAACTCTGTGGCATCTTCCTGAACTATAGGGTGAAGCCCTTTACAGAAAATTATCAGGTGTTCGGCAGTTTCCTTCTCCTCTCCAAATGCACTGCATACCGTGTCTACCCCTTCGTATTTGGACTGATACGTCTTGGTTCGCAGTACTCTCGTCCTAGCCACAAACAGTAGAGAACTACCCCGAGTATTATTACACATCCCTTCCTTGACAATTTCCTGCTTAAAAGTTCGATAGATTTCTATAGTGCGAACTTTTTAATCATGCCTATTCTCCACATGTCGGTCTTCGTTTCCTTCGTCTTCTCAACCCATAGTGCTTTTTAGTTTGGCCCCCTTCTCGTTTCTAAGTATTTACCCGTCGATTTTCTGGTTCACTTCCTCCATTTTGTATTGACATTCCTTATGTACAAGTAGTTGAAAACTTTCCTAGCCCAACGCTCCTCCCCCATTTCTCTCAATCGCTTCTCAAATTTTATCTTGCTCCCAAAACTGCCAAATGATTATGAGAGACGCCGTAGTGGAGGGCTCCGGAAATTTGACCACCCGGAGGTTTTCAACGTACACCCAAATCTGAGCACACGGGCCTACAACATTTCCGCCTCCATCAAAAATGCAGCCGGAATTCGAACCCGCGACCTGCGGGTCAGCAGCCGAGTATCTTAGCCACTAGACCACCGCGGCGGGGCTGAAGTCAAGTGCACTCCTCTGTTATTTGGCCTCTAATCCTTGTGGGTATAGGTGCCACCACTAACGGTGAGCGGTTGAACGAGACAGACTAATAAGAACCCTGCTATCTGGGCAGGTCAGGAGTGCAGTAGGTCGTGAAGTTAATGGTTAATGAAATCTGGCGCTAGCGAGCTGCTGGATGCAACATAGAGTTTCTCAAAATTGTAAGTATTGTGGGAAACTCTATGGGATGCAATATGCAAGGGAATGACGGGATACGTGATAGCTTCGAACTTGCTCAAATTTGTATACCTCGAAGACTCGTCTGGCTTCACGTTAAAATGATTGATTTCTTACTAAAAGAACACGTAATTGGCTATTTATTTTTTGTCATTGCACAAAACGTGTTTTATTTAACGCTAGAATCTTCTACGTTGATGTACAATTTCACAAAGCGAAAAAAATAATCAACAGCTACTAAACTTGGCGGGCAGACGACAAAGCGAGCGTTCTTTCCGCCACGTTTATGTCGTGTTTCTTTTCTTCGCCGTTTGGTTGTGCCGTCAAGGTGAGTAGAATTTATTTTGACAGTTAATACGCGTTAATGAGATCCGCTTATACACATTTTGTTTTAGAGAAGTTTTATTTACGCAGTCGTATTTGCGTTTGAGCCGAAGCCCCGCCAGAGTGTACTAGAAGTGTTGAGTGGCGTGACCACGCCTCGCCGCCTGATCCCTTCCGCGTTGCCCGCAGCGGCGGCGCTGCAGTTGAATAGTACTGAAAGATCCGCGTGCTGCGTGCAGGAACTGCTATGTGCTTCGGCTCCTCCCTCGGGCTTTCTTGATGCAGATTTCTTTGTACCTGCCCATCATTCATGTCTAGCACATGATACCATAGCCCTTGAAGTATGACACGCCAATCTACTGAATTTGAGCTCCATAAAAGTTCTTGTGAGAGATCGAAAATATTTCAGAAAGGGGTGTGTCCTATACTGATAACTGAGCCGATTTATTGAAAGTTAGCTGTGCTCAGAAAGCTGTGAGATTAAAAAACAATCACACGCACGCAGAACCAGAAATTTGCTTGCTTGCAATGGCGTTACGCCAATAGAATATTTGGAAAGCAGCACAATTTAATCTGTCGATACTAAATGACACCTGGTTACACTGAATTTACGCAGATTAACAGATGGGATATATATACGATTGGCACTTTTTAATATGTTTGTGTGTTGTTTTTTATAAGTTTAATATGTATTAAGCTTTTCGCAAAGCAACAATTATTATCTTCCGCAAAACTGGCATGATAAAACAGAGTCGTCACCGATCTAAATGTTGTGACAACGTTGCTATACTCGGGGTTTCTCGTGAAACAATCGAGCGTATGTAGGCTCATATGAGGAACACTGTGCTCTGCATATCGTATAGACTGCCGACAATCAAGTATCAATCACGGTTTTGATACTTCTCCTCTCTTTGTAGTTCGCCAGTAGCCACTTATGAGCTCAATGCAGCTCAAAGCGCCGATTGAGTAAGAAGCTAGGCGGATCCGTGCAAATGCCGATTGACATTTCTTTTTTTTTTTTCTGGGTCGGCAGGCTCTTGAAACAGTGAATGTATCGATGCAATATCGGCGTGCCTGCATATTATCTTGTGTACCATGGCGCGTAGCAGGTACGTCCACTGATAAAGGCTCAGAAACGCATTAACCGTGCTAAAAACACGCTTTCGCAGGCTCGAGCGCGCGCGCGCTCCCAATGCAGACGTTTCTGAGATCTTCAGTACCATGCGACTACAGCGCCGCCGCTACTGTCACCCGATGGAGAATCGGCCGAGATGCGGCGCCGCCGCCTCGTTCACTCCACTGCCCCCTTCTAATACACTGTAGCCAGTTGTAAGGTAGAGGTACAGTGCCTAGAATATTGCCCCTATTCTAGACACTGTAGTCATAGAGAAAGAAGCTGTAGTAGAGGTGTTCTGCAGTGTGTGTTAAGAAACTCTATGGTGTTCTGTGGTTCTGTGCTGTAGCCCCGCTTAACACCAGCCAACACAAGCCTCGCAGACACAACGTGTTCTGTGAGACAACTCTCCGGGCCAAATGCGAGCAGCAGCCGATCAAAGCGCCTTCCGACGAGCCGATATCCCGCGGTGCAAGCTCTTAAAGGAAGTCTCCCGTCGGGGACGACTGACCGGCCAGATAATACCGTCCTTCCCAGTGCTCCAACATCGCCCCTTAAGAAATTCGCATAGGCGGTGGCGCCACGCTTCCCTCTAGGTAGAGTGTACTAGAATAAGGTTCTAGTACACTATCTCTACTATGGAGGCCAGGGTGTAGAATTGGTAAAATGACGGGGCACGCTCGCCTCTACGCAACGCCGCGATGAACGCCAGTGTCAACTCCGCCGCCAGTGTCAGCGCTGCGGAGAAGAGGGCTCGGGCCGCCGCCGCTGCTGCTGCGAAACGGGAAGCGACGACGTCAACGGCGGCTAGCGAACCCTGAAATCCGGGCTCGGGAAGCCGAATTGAAACGTCGACGTCGAGCAGCGAATCTTGAAGCGGCTCGGCAATACGAAACCGAAAAGAAACGTCAACGGCGGCTATTGGACCCTGAATTCCGGGCTAGGGAAGCCGAATTGAGACGTCGACGTCGAGCAGCGAACCTCGAGGTGGTGCGACGACGCGAAGCCGAAGCGAAACGTAGACGCCGAGCAGCGAATCTCGAAGCGAAACGTAAACAACGAGCAGCAGAATCTCGAAGCGGCGCGGCAATGCGAGTCGGCGGCGAAGGCAACGCATCGCATGAAGCAACTGCTGCAACCGGGCACGGATGGCGCGGACGCGTGGTTCAAGCTCGAGTTCGTGGATCGAAGCTTCGGGCACATCTGCAAGGTATGCTACCAACTGTGGTTCTACAACCTTGACCAAGGTCACAGTAGCATCCACAATGAACAGCACCGTAACGTCGTTATCGGTGTGCTCCAACAAGTGTTCGGGCCGATTAACAGCGACTACAGTGAATTCAGTGTGCTCCACTTGCATGAACGTGTTAACACCGGGCAAGGTGGCCGCCATGAGCGTGACTAACAGCTACTGCTACCCGCCGAGACATATGAGCTGCTTCGCATGCTACTTGGACTTCCCTTTACTGGGAGATGCAATTCTCCCATCTAAAAAGTCGGATATTTGCACAGTTGTTTATCTGCATGGTTGACCTCCATGCCTGCATAGCTGGTGTGACATCAGCATAGTTGTCGACATTGTAGCCCAGATGTTCTCTGTAGGGATGCTGGGTCGTGTTCAGGGGTTTCAGGCGTTCGAAAAGCGATGAGTCGGCAATGCAGAGTGCACACAGCGGAAGAAGAGGCCACTTACCTCGAAGCTAGGAATGCAGCGGCCCGAGAATGTAGTCGTAAACGACGATCAGATCACGACTACGCTCGAAGGGAACGCGTTGATGATGCGTTTGCCCGGTGTGAGTACGGCCTAGTACAAGTGACGAAAAGCCTGCGCTTCTACCGCAAGGATTAGCCACAGCTAGGTTTCCTCGCGAGTTTCTGGTCCTGGAGTCTGGGCAAGGTCTGTGCCTGTCGGTGGTTTTTAACTGTAATAATCTGCGTAGCATGTTGAACTCTGTTCGATGCAGTAAAAAAAAAAAAAACGTGTGAAAGGCCGGCAAGTGTTGCAGGATCGACATATTTCAGTTTCGTTGCTTCTGAAGCTTTACACGTTTAAAGTGAACTTTCATGTTGTTATTTCGCAGCTGTGCATTTTGAAGTACCTGATCACATTAACAATTGTTACGTAACACTTTGTGGTACTTGTAGCCTTCGAATCCGCTTTGCGCCGGATAGCCTTTTTGATATCCTCGTTGTGGCTGCCGCTTTCACAAAAAAAAAAAAAAAAATCGCATCGGCGCGCATGTTTTCTTGCAGGAAAATTCGAGGGAATCTCTAGGGGATGTTTCGAAAGGTGAAAGACAATTCCCTAAAAAGGAAATCTCCCCTTTATGCGGCCGCGGTTTTGCATCGGCGAGCAGCGAAACCACAGCTTTGGAATTCGAAGGTTGCGGATTTGTGCTCACATGAATAAATGAAGGAAAAACAAAGGCAGTAATGTTTCATTTACGTAATAAACAATTTAAGGTAAACCTCATTAAATTGAACAATAGAATGCTGAGAATGTAAATATTACTGTCTTTCAGATCACTCGGTGTATGTTTCCCTGAAACCATGTCATGGGATTGCCAAATGAATCAATTAGTAAATTATCTAGAGAAATAGCTGCGATTTTTTGCCATTGTATTATAAAAAGTAAATGTTTGTTCACCTATAGGCCTTGTCGCATTCATAGAATGGAAAAAATTGAGAATAATATTGCTCAGACACAACTGGCATCGTTACAGCAACATAATTCTTTTTATAAATTTCGTCATTCAGAACCTTGCGGTGTTAGTGAAAACAGAACTACTAGTTATGGTGACCAAATGCTACAGTTTTGTTTACCGGCTGTTCTAAATCAAAATCGATTAGAGAAAATGGTCTCGATGTATCTGCTCTGTCGCTAGAAAGGCTATGCAACATATTTATGTAATTGCTCGTGCTGCCGTGAGTTCATATGTTTTTGTTTTTCTCTGTCTTCATCACTACAGCTATTTATACTCTTGTTTTTCACATGTTTCCACTGCAATCCTGTTCATTAATTCTTACAATGGTTCTTTACTGTTTTTACCGTTTTGTTCATGCATAGTGTAAATAGCACGCTTCTGTTCAACCGCTGTAACTGCTCAGTGTATGAGGTGGCCAGAAGCCTCTCAAGCTGCTTAATGTAGCTTTTCGCCTGGTCATTTTCGCAACCTTGTTGAGAAATAAACTCAAATCAATTCATTTAAATTGGTCATCATGCGACCAGACAGATAAAAGCAAGAAGTAATGTCCCATATGTGCTCTCTTTGGCTTAGCTGTCCATAGGATCACTCGCCATGGTGCGCTATGGTGTTCCACTTGCTGAGGCCGCGGGATCGAATCCCAGCAGAACTCTCATAGGGGGCGAGAACGTCGTAGGCTCGTGTAGCTAGATTAGGTGCATAACAAGTGACCCTAGGTGGTCAAAATTTGCCGAGCCCTTCACTGTGGCGCCCCTCACGATCAAATAATTTTGGGACATTAAACCCCAATAGTGTTCCTCTCCCTTGGATTCATTTTGGTGTCTAGCAACGTGCATCCAGTATTTTTTCAGTCGCTGTGTAGGTGCTGATGCCCTCTTACACTTATGGTGTAGTGTTAAGGCGTACTCGTTCCCAGTTCAAGTAGTGACATTGGCTTTTGCGGATAATTGCATTCTTGGATGCCCTATATATATCACGTTCTGCTTTTTTTGCCATTAGGTTGCATCGCCGGCACAACCAACTGGAGTCCTTCGAGCGAAGTGTTCTGTGCAGCATGACCAGCCCACATCCTGTGAGAAGGGTGTGTCCAAATCAACACAGGCTAATATAGTCACTCAAATGGTCTCTGCATGGACGCAATCCGAAGAGGTGCAAGATTTATATGATGCCTCCTCGCCACTGAAAGTGCCACAGCCAAGCAAAGGTGCACCCTTATGCATATCAGTACTATTACTGTCATTTACTTCTCATAATTCAAACAAAATTCGAGGGCCCCTTCAAGTTTGAATTAACAAGGGTCGACTGTATATAGTGGAGCATAGGTTGGCGAAATCACTCGCAAGTCGGCTAATTCGGACTCTGATTGAGCCGCGAGTCTGTGTGAGCAATATTTTGGGGAGTTTGAGTCCCAGTGAGTTCAGTTGAAAAAAAAAAAAAAAATTAGTGAGTGGCGAGTTTGGTTCAGGAAAATCTTGTAGAGTGAGTCCTAAGCGCAAAATATATTAAATGAGTGAGTTTCACTCTCATAAGCTTCACAATTTTTGCTCACCTATGTAGGGGACTAAAACAAAAACGCTGACTAAGGTAAAATGAAGAAAATTTTTAACAACTTTCTGTTTTTTTTACAGTGTGGAGAAAAGCAAAGTCTTTTTTAAAAATATTTGTGCATTTTACCTTGGTCGGCGTTTGTTTTCTTTAACTGTTTGTCCCCCACCAAACGAGATTCTGTCAAACTCTTGATTATACTCTTTGTTATATATGATACTTCACTGTATTGAGATTCAAACGTTGCGCCGCTCTGGTAATTGTGGTAACTGCTGATGCGAAGGTCGTGGGACCGAATCCTAATCTTGGTGGGCACATTTCTCGTGGAGGCTAAAATGCTCACGGCAAATGTATTTAGTTGTGTGAGGTAGTCGACATTTTCTAAGTGCTTTACTGTGGTGTCCCTCATAATCATATTAATCATATCGTGGTTTCGGAACATTAAGCCCCAACAGTAATTATCCATCAATTTTCAAGTCAAATGTGTCACCACATTGTTGCGACACCTTATCTCTTTCCGTCTTTAGGCCATAAAGCAGCATCATTTGGATTGCAGAGGACCAAGGTTAGTGCCTCCAGGACCTATGAAAGTCATGGAAGGCCCCAGTGCATACGCAAAAGGCTGCTGAAAAGATAACATGGTGTACAGGCATCTCGGAGGCCAACTTATACTCTACCGCGGTCTCCTGTTAGATGCCATCCCACAATCTCAAAGACAGCGACGTCGTTTCTTGATCATCGGAACCGCTATCGCAGGACGTAAGTGCACTACAGTTAGTATAAGGTATGCAGAGTGGAGGTTCGGGCTTGGACCCGGGCATACGCCCGAGTGCTGCAGTGAAGAGTCTCTTCACCGGAGTACGGCTCCTCCTTTGCGCTACCACCAAGCACTCAAGTCATCGAGGGGCACCTATTCTGAACCTCTACACCTTCCCTCCTTAGCTAGTGTAGAAGCTAGCCGAGGAGTAGGAAATTAATCGGCGCAGTCGACAGGATTGGAGAGCCCACAGCGAGGAAAGCGCTAAAATGCGGGGAAGCTCACAAGATGCTCACCGCTTTTGGGAGCTACTGGTGTGCTGCGAGAAGTAGCATCAGGACGCTCGCTGCTTTGGTATCTGCTGGCGTGCTGATCAACGAACCTGCTGATTAACTTGGGAGCCAGGAGTTGGGCAGCCCAAGAGCGCTGCGCCTCAGTAAACTAGAGCAGAACAGAAAGGACAGTCCACACGGCTAACTTCAGACAACGACAGGGGCGGCTTGGTGGAGCTCCCGGAGCATCAAAGGATTCGTCGCAATCAGCGTTGGCGACGAGACGATGTTATTCCAACTGACAAGGTCATTGGGCGACGCATCACTGCAAGGTGAGGCCTGCTTTGTGCTCTCTCAAGCCCCCCCCCCCCCCCCCCCTATTTTTTTTACCGAGGCTCGCTCTGCGAGATGGCGGATTGTAATAGAAATGTCATGAAAGGCGACAGTGTGAATGAAACGGACTGCACCTGCGAGTTTATGCTTGAGATTGAAGCGCCAAAGCTAAAGCTTGAGCTTGAGAAGATGATACGGGCTTCATCAGAATATCCGGACAACCGGAACCATGTCTCTGATGTGGCCACTTCACACATGAGGTCAGAAGGCATTACTTTTTATCCTAGGAATGAATACCAAGCATGGAAAAATCCAATCCCTTTCACGTGAGCACCCACAAAGAAGGTTGGTGTGGTCCCGAACCTTATTATCATGCCAGGCTATGGAGGGAGAGCTGATGCACTGATCACTTCATTTCTCACCATATCAATTTTTTTTTTCACAGGGAAGGAATGGGAATTTTCATGTTTTTTAGTTTATTAGATTCAGAATGGTGCCTCCAGATGTTGTGTGCTGAGTCCTCACATGCATTGGCCTTGTTGTCAGCAATTAAGTGTGCTTCAATGTAAAAATATTTAGCTGCGAGTGAAGAACTATAGTTTGTATTTTCTTGCCTTTGTCGTTGATGCACTGCCTTCAAGATATTAAAGAACTATCACCAACTTGCTCAGCTATCAATTCTGCTACAACACCTTTGCAGCGTAGCTCATTCAGAGTTCTGGCTTCTTTCAGCAATGCCTCTAGTCTTGGAATATCCAACACGGACCAGCAGTCGAATGGAGGAATATTGAAATGGTGATGGCATCACAGATGGTGATGATGAGTGCAGACTGACAGCAAGCTCACCTTTAATGAAGAAGGAGAGAAAAGGCCCTGCCACAGTCAATCGAGAGCCTGTACTTGTCATCGTCAGTGACAGCGCACTCGCTCATCGAGGTTTGAGGACCTGGAGGCTTTGAATCGCCGTGAACTTTCCAATGCAACCTGTGCCTACAGACGATTGTACAATAGACTACTTTTAAACGAAACCAGAAGCGACCAAGAAAATGTGTTTCCTTCAAGAAGAGTTTCGTTTACTGAGAGATAAACAGGGGTATATATTCAAGTACCGAACCAAACATATTAGTGGAAGTTGTTTCATTTAAGCAGTAATTTCATTTGAGAGGGTTTCCTTTAATAGGAGTCTACTGTAATGTGAAATCGTCTCTCCAAGTCTGCCAATTCCGCGAGCACACGCTTGGTCGCATGCAGAGGTTGCTTTCAGCAAATCATTGCAAATAAATTTCACTCAGAGGCTCGTTTACACCAATAGATTCTATGGTATTGAGTCAGATTTCTTGCTCTAATTTCAGTAAAATTAATTTTGCTATTCTTTCCACCCGCTATCCTGCCTCGCCATCCTTTGATCCCTCCCGACTAGCTCTGCTGGTCCCTCGAGGGCAGGGATAAACTGCTTTGTTTCCCACCGAAACCTGCTGTTATGCGCTTGCTGCTCTTCGGTGCGAGCCGTGCATTCTCATGTGAAGTGATGTAGAGCGTCAGTGTGCTACCCCTCCGCGAGCATGTGAATTGCTATTCTGTGGGGTAATACGTATGTAATCTGTGGATGTTACCTGTTAAAGTCTGATTGATTTGATTTGTGGGGTTTAACGTCCCAAGATCACCATTTGATTATGACAGACGCCGTAGTGGAGCGCTCCGGAAATTTTGACCACCTGAGGTTACCTGTTAAAGTCGAAGACAATCTTTCCATCACAGGTGGGACTCCACTTAGCTAAGACATCGCCTCGCGCTGGCTAGCAACTGCTGGCGCATTTGCACGCGGTGCCCTTACACTGTGCGTAGCTTTTGCCCCACTTCTGCCTAAGGCTTAAAGTCGGGGGGGGGGGGGGGGGGCACATGTCAATTTTTTAAAGGGGCCCTGCAACAGTTTTTGAGCATGGTCAGAAAACGCTGCCGATCGGAAGGAGAGGCTCCCAACAACACGCGAGCAAAATATAGCACAGCACGCGGCCTGGAATTCACAATAAATTATCAAAGTCAGCTAAAAATTGTTTTCTCTCGACAAACACACGTTATATGCCTGAAAATCACACGTCAACGACCCATCTATCAGCCATTGGCTGATTTGAACATGGCGTGCTTGCTTGTTGCAGAGATCACCGCAAGAAGCCGCTACTTGCCCGTGCATGCGCACGCGATCACACTGAAAAAGCCGCGCATTCGAAGAAAAAAAAAAGTGCTCAAGGTCGCAAAGCACGCGTGACGTTTTTCTGTGGTCCTGCCATCCCTTCCTGCTTAGCTTTCAGCGCTATCATTGGGTCGAGTGAAGAGAGAATGGAATTGCAGCATGCGACAAACCTTTGCAACTGCACTCGCACTGGATGGGTTCATAAAATTTTCGCAGCATTGAATTCGTGAGGCAATAAGCTCTTCCACTGAATTCATTCCATGGTTACTTGATAAAGTGTTTCAGGGCCCCTTTAAGGGGGTGCAACACCCCACCATGGCTGGTCCGTCAACTGCAGGGCAATAGCACCCAGTTGACAAGCTCTGGAGTTTATTTCTAAAATTTTTTTAGTAGTGTTTTGTGCCAGTAAATTGTCATGCTCTAATTTTTTTTAATGATTTAGTCACGAATGTTGGGTTGATGTGGCACCACGTTGTGAAATGACACTGTGGTATAGATGCATTTATGAAACAGTGATAGCAGGGCAGTGTCTCGACGATCATGCGAGAGAAACTGTTAAGTCGAATTTCAATTGTGAAGTCTGAGTCTTTATTTCAGACATGCATGCAAAAATTACATGGCTAAGGAGGAGGGATAGCCACACAGTCGCAGCTTCATATTGCTCCCTTTTTCCCGGATACTGCTTTAGTTATTGATATACTGATTTAGTTATAATACTGATAGCTATAATGATACTGATTTAGATACTGAATAAAATACTGATTTAGTTATAATGCTTTAGTTATTGTCGTAAAAACATAAAATTAAATGTACAGGCTCATTTTGTATAGATTTGAATTTTTCGATTAGATATTTACGATGGGGAGGCATGCTGCTCGCTCAGACGAAGCTGTACAAATGTTAGGTAAGCTAGTTTGTGGATATGCATGTCACCTGTTGATCTGGCGGCATTCGTGCAAGCTTCTGCACTATGAGTTGAGCTCAAAAGGGTAGATACTAGATAAACACCAAGATGTTTTTACTGCGTGTCATGCAAGACATTAGTGCTATTTTGAGCTCTAAATATGTAGGTGTACTACACCTGTGGCTATAACATGATTTTATGTTTGGAAATGCTGAGCTTTATAAGCCAAGTGTAGTACCAAAAGAGAAACCAGTTCAAGATCCCTATGGAGGACTTGAAGATGGTCGTTAGTCGTCTGCAAAAATGCGTATGTGTGATGGAATATTTATTTTGGGGAAGTCAAAAATGTGTATAAGAAACAGCAATGGCAAAATAACACTTCCCTGAGCACCCATTAATAACACTATGAAGCACCCATTAGCGGCATGTTGTGTGTGGCGCAGTTAATGGGTGCCAAAATGTTGCCATCAACCACGCTCCGAAAAGTGCACCTAGTAAGTCGCCACTAGGTGTGACAGGCTGTTCTGTCACCTGACCACAGTAGGGGTTGCCAGCCACCATACTCTGGGCATCAACAGCGCTTGGGGTATCGGAGCTGGCTCACCCACGGAGGATGCTTTATTGGTGTTCTTAATTGTGCGCTTAGGCATGCTTCTTCCGTCTCGTTAAAACACCTTTGGGTGCTTTGTCTGCACACTCGAAACTATTGCAATTTAGTCAACATAATGGCATATTTCTCAAACGACCAGAACATGCTCGCACTACCCATCAACTGCCTCATCTGCGTAACATTCCCACACATGAACGTAGGTAAGTTTTGTCTTGAGGCGCGCAAACCCGTGTTGCATCACAATTGGAAGAGGCGAAAAATGCTGGTGTGGCTTGAGGAGGCAAGTGCTTCTGTTGCACCTCCCCTTGCCAACGTCCATGTTGTCTCGTCAGTACTACTTTGTGTTTCCCACTGATGTTGCCAGAGAAGAATGTCGCACGTGTCAGGTACTCCTTTTCAAGGCCCTTGATCTTCATATGACTGCACAACAAACTGTTCGCTTCAGTCACATGCTGAAGCACAAGCATAGAAGTCATGATGTGTATGCACAATTAATGAAATTTAAAAAGAACAACCTAGTAAAATTTTCAAGAGACAGTTCAGTCAATGCAGTAGGTATGGGGAGCACTTGTGGACCTGGATGCAGTACCAGGCATCCAGTTATGATGTTGTAGTGTACTCATGTACTCACAGGTATGCAAATTGAACCTGACTGTCCGGAGTTGTTCGAGTAGCAGAAAATGTGAGCTTGTCTGTGCATGTGCAAAGCACGCTGTACGTAGCGCTGACGTGTAAAAACTTTTTCACCAGGATACATAGGTCGGCAAAACTTGTGGAGCTTGCTCAGACTCGCTCACAAAAGGCATTTTGTGCGCAGGGCTCGTTCATGCTCTTCATTTTCCCGAGCCGGACTCGCCCTCACTCAAATGTTTTTCAACCGGATTGGCTCGGACTCGAACATACCTAAACAATGCTCACTCAGACTCCCGACTTGATCAGAGTCTGAGGGAGTCTGCTTGTGAGTCCGTTAGCCTGGAATTTGCTTCTTTGACCATGGTGTCAATGCTCTTAAAAACCTTGATATTCCACATAATTGGTGCTATTCTGGGCGCCTTCCAGGGTAAAATGATGACAGAGTTCACAAATGTTACAAACCCCTGCTCGGGTAGCCCTTTCTGCAATGCTGTAGCGTAAAGCACCCAAGAGTTACATAGGCGACCCATACTGAAGAGAACCTACAGTGCATAGTCATGATACATGGGAGACAATTTCCACAGCTGAACTGTTATGCGACCTTCAGCTTATTACTGTGTAGAGGTAAAACTGCTCCTCAGTTGGTGTTTTCCAAGTGTGCTGCCGGAAGTGACCACTGTCGAAAGTAAAGGGCTCCGCCCTTCCCCCACCCGCAATAGATACGCCTATGCCTCCAACATAGCTGTCGTCCTCCGTCAGAAGTCCCTTGGCCCCTCCGTTTGTAGAGATCGTGAGAATGCAGAGCTTCCACGCGCACTGCGGCTGGCTTCGCTTCTTACGGAGCTGCGGAGTTACGCGTGGTACAAGACGCCTGCAATGCATAGTGAGAGAGTGTGCGTGACGCATGAGCGCTGGCAGCTTTTCCCCCGTTTTTTTGTAGCGAGCGCTACGTTGCTCGTCCTATTCTCGCCGTGGCCGGTGGCCGCACCCCGTGCTGAGCCGTTGCCTAACAACCGCCGCAGCCGGCAGCGCCGCTCGCCGCGCCATCTCGCGTGACGTCAGGGAAGCCGAAAATCGAACGCGTTGCACCTGGTTGCACCAACAGAGGAGCCGGTGTTGCATATATGGACGGGGCAGCTCCGTCGGATATGTCGACAGATATGAAAAGTGAGTCGGAGAGACTGAAAGAAGCCAGGTTTCGTCGTCGGAACGAAAAGAAGCGGAGAAAACGAGCCGAAGAGACGGAAGAAGAACGAGCCGCACGCCTCGAAAAGCGTCGCCAGTACGAAGCGGCCAGGCGAGTGCATCCAATTGATAGCTCGTTGTCTTGTTCGCCACCTCGTGCCAGAGCCGCGGATCGACGACGGAATGAAACCAGGAGGATGCAACGAGCTGCGGAAACAGAAATAGAACGTGCTCGCCGTATCGAACAGAGGCGGTTGGCTGACGCAGCTCGGAGAGCGGCGCGCTTAGCCGCCGATAAAACGCAGTTGGTTGACGTAAAGGCTCGCCGGGTGAAGGGCCATGTGATGCGACTGCCTGAAAGTTCTGGTGCGACGTGCAAGTTCCGAACGGACTTTACAGGCAATCCGTCTGAATTTGTAAGTGATGTTTGCAAAATACTTCGGCATATGCGAGACTCGAGATTCTGGTGAGTAGCGCACGCATTGCGCATGCGCTGGTTCTCATTCATCACCTTACTTAACCATTTGGTTAAGCCAGTTAAGTCGTACCTGAGTAAGGTGATGAATGAGGACCAGAGGCGAGTGTTTGTGCCGCGTGTAATAACTTTCTACAAAAGCGAAATATCTCGATTTAGAGCGTAACGTGTATCGTTACCCGCCGATTTCATCAGGGCTACCATGGTTGCTCGACGTGGCGAAAAGGCGATTGGGTTGGTTCATGTCAAAGTCTTGACATGAACATTAACAAGTGTTTGGCAGTTTTCTCCTCCTCTCCGCATGCACTGCATACCGTGTCTACCCCTTTGTATTCGGCCCGATATGTCTTGGTTCGCAATAATCCTGTCCTAGCCTCA